ATACCGGGTACCATACTTGTCTGCATGTTATCCTTCAGATAACCAACTGTTTTAGCTGACAAAAAACCTCCAGCATACTGGTATACCCTGGCAAATAGTAAAGCAATCAATGATGGTCCTTTGTATTCATGACTAATTTTATTTATGCACCAGAAAGAAATGTCATCATCAAACATCAGAAATGTCATTTTTTATATCATCCTAAGGTTCAGTTACAGTACGGTAATTCAGTTGCTAAACAATTTTCGGTAGGAAATGTGGGAGCTTGGTAGAAGATGAAGCCCACAGTTCCAAGGGTAAACTCAGATTACAAAAAGGCTGAGACCTGCCAACTGCCCTGTAAATTGTGTAATAACCAGATCCTTGTCATAAAATGACTGGAAAACCAAACATACAACAAGAGATTTCAATAGATTGGGACCCGCAAACATTTGCTTTTTATCTCGGTCATACCAGTATGGCCACTTTTCATGGATGGAGAGTTGTTTGGACACAATATGTAATGATGCCTTTATGTTGAGGGAATGTTGAGGGTTATGTTTCAAAAGGGAAATTTTATGTATTTTTTTCACTTTCAGGATATCATTGGCTCAAGTTTACCAGGGTATGATTAAATATTTTTAGCTGGGGGGGGGATCTTCTGACATCACATGCAGGCCATCAATGGTGCTCCTGCTACACAAAGTTTCACTTCTTTTGTAAATCAATTTTTGCTGTGACACTTTCATGGCATGACTGGCTTGCTACTAGAGTAGCTTTCAATGCTTTGACCAACCTTGATGAAAGACAAGCGTGTACACGACCCATGATGTCAACGTACACAATAACCTAACAATAGCAACAAAGTCTTGGGTGTGGCTTACATAATGTGTTCAACTCAGTGAATGACTGCTGGAATTATACACATGAGTGCATGTGCTCAGGAAGACCACAGAGGTATGGTACCAAACACCACGGTACTTCCATGGGAAGTCTAATGTTCTGATACAGGGGTACCAGTACATGAGAGGATGGAGGTAACATGTGAATACATGTAATTCTCTTGAAAGTTCATGAAAGGCACCTTCAATCAATTTGTTTAAATGCAAACCTTCAAAATTTGAGGATTTGGGATCATCAAGTCAAAATAAGCAAAGGAATTTGCAAATCACACCTCAGTCACTGTGCTTACAGTTCAAACAGTGTGCTACAATATCAGAATTAATCTCCTCTACATGTAGAGTACACTGTAGCAATGCTGTCATAGAACATGCTGAACCACACAAGTCAATCATTCTACAATCTCTTAAAGTGAAGTACAGTACTGGTCCTGTACACGTCTGTTTCTGTTAATCATTAAAAAGACAACACAAGATCAGTTACAGCTTTACAGCTTTACTAAGGAACTATCCGTGTGAAACAAACCTGTAATTTTTCCCCCAGCAACAAGGATATGATAAACTCGCTGCTGTTTGTTGACTGACTCATATGAGATGTTGTCTGTGCTCTGGCAACCCGAGAAGTGATAACTGAACCGATACGATCTGTGATTTCACATAATAATTTATGTACATGTAGCTGTCAGAGGAACACAAAAATGCATGCATGATCTGATTCATTCTTACAAACTGTACATACATGTACATACAGTACAATGTACATGTACTGTACATGTACCACCAGTGTATACAGACTTTAAAAAAAGGAAAGCTATCGTATATTGTACATTCTCTCCAGTCAAGTCAGTTGATTATTTACGTGAAAGTGTCACAAGTGATGCCAAAAATTTGCCCAAGATTTTTGTGAAAATGCAATTAATACATACTGAACTTCATTGTTTGCAGGAAGACAATAAAAAAAACTGCTGAAAGTAGTCCAGAAATATGTACTTCGTATCTATATTCAATTTAAACCATGTACACGTACGTACCGGCATATGTCCGTGGTACCAGTACGTATAGCTCTTGAACAATTGCTTAATCAAATTTATAAACTTAATTAATACCTGTAAGTCAAGAAGTACGTTTACATGTACATGTAGCTTTGATGCATGAACAGATACATGAAAGCCTACAGTATTTGGGAAATATGCCACAGCTAATAAAGTTGCCATAAGAATGCCAAGTAAAATCAATAAAGGAAGGCAGAATGAAGACACACACTGCTACGTAAATCAAACCTGAATATGATACAAGGTGGGAATTCATTAGACAAGCCAGGCAGAAATTATGAAGACAGTTGTGAAGGGATGATCCATAAATAGATCGTACATCTCACTCACTGTGTTCCACATACCGTACCAGGCAAATACATGTACATGGTTAGGCATTCAACGCGTTCAGGGAACAAATTCTTTTGTTAGGGAAATTTGAACTGAGTTGTGGGGACATTTCTGAGTCCCCACAACGTTTTCGGTCCCCACAAAATACAGTAGGTGAAATGTCGAATGTACATGTACAGGGTATGTCCCCACAACTACAGTGCAGGAGCAGGTGTAATGTACCTTCCATGGTACTGTATAAATGAGGATGTATACCCCAGTAGATGCACATGATGTGTATCATTTTCTTAAATTTAAAATGACAAAAAAGTAGCATTTTTAACTTTGAAATTTTTTATTTCATGTACCAAGAAAATTATTAAATTTTCGTGGCCATAAGTAAGCTGCAGGGAGACAAACTTGGAAATGCTGGTTTTAGGGAAACTGGGTATCAGAGAAAAGTGTTCTCATCCAGACACATAACCCATATCTTGTACTTGGTAGGGTTCAAAGTCAGGTCTCCAGGCATCTAGGAAGTAATGAAGGAATTGAGAAGAACCAACACCCTAGCCTGACTGCCCAACCTTAAACAGCTGTAGCCCAAAAAGCTGTCTGAAAACAATGAATATAGCTGTCTGAAAACAACCATCACTTTTGTCCAGGGTGAGTACATCTAACCTTTGATGAATTTAGCGGAGGTTGGCAAATGACCCAAAGGTATCCAATAACAAATTTTATGTACACATGAACTGTGTACTATTTTGTAGACTATTCAAAGTCTGCAATATCAAGTTTTCTCACTGAAACTGATAAATAATGATTAAATTTAATGATCATAAGGAGAATCTTGGTCAACTTACTGGTAGATCATGTGCAAGTTTTGCTAAAAACATTACACAGACTGTTGTAATCACCAGTACATGACATGTACAGTCCTGCCATATCTGAAGAATGACAGTGTACATTTGTATGTGTTCTAAGCTGAGCTTTATCTTTCTACTCGTGAATTACAACTTCGTGGAAATAATAAATGATTAGAAAAAGATACTGGTACGCTACACATGTACCACAACTTCATGAATAATGAGGTTAAACATGCATGGAATGTTAACAGATGCAAAGCCTTTTTTTTATTGGAAACTGACTTATTGTGCCTAGCCCGGATGACAGCTGAAGATATTAAAATGCTACGTGTATATTGTACCAGTACAATGGGATGGAGACTTATTAAGTGATTTTTTCACTCATAAGAAAATTCAAAATTTTTTATCTTTTAAATTTTTTTCTTTCACAACTCTAGGGCATATTAAGGAAAGTACAGTTTACAAATCTTAATAACTCATGCCCCCAAACTATGGGGTTCATCACGCCCACACTGCTCTCAAATGTGGCAGGTGTGATGAACCCTATTATGTACCGGTACATGTACATGTAGGTACCGTAGGTCCAACAGTAGTTCTACTATTCTAGGCATGACATGTACATCATCATGTATGTACAATAGTTGACGCAGGACACAAAATGAACATCCTTATTTTCAGTTACAAGGACACCTGTGCTCTTTGTAGGCCTAAACCGACTTAGTATGGTACTTCTTTATTTCATTCAACTTTTCGACTTCTCTGGCTTCTTACAGCTTGTGTTTGCATGGTTTAGGCCTTCAAAATCTTGGCAGTCTGTGCACTCTGGTCCATGTATGTTTTGTTCATCCGGTTTCGATTTGAAAACAAAATCAAGCAAGCAATAAACAAGTTGTTTTCCGTTTTTCTATTTGAAAATAAAAATGAAATTGAAAAAGTCATTCCTTTTTTTCGATGTGAAAATTAAAAAAATGAAAATGAAAAAAAAAAAATTCACTGAAAATGAAAAACATGATATTTTTCTTTTTCTGAGCGAAAACGAACAACAGCATAATCTATTGCTCCAAGAATGAAAAACAGTTCCATTTTTCATTGCATAGTATAAGAAACGTCTTTGTAAGCCATCAAATCAAACCGCTGAATTAGAGAAACACAAAGAATTTCTTGCCTTTATAAAGTAAAAGGAGCAGTAACTCACAAAGAAACTTCTCAAATGCTCAAAGGCCTTTTATCTTGAAAATTGCTCAGAGACGTCCATGACAGCTCCTCAAAATTCCATGGGATTAATTGGGATTCAAATTTAAAACAAGATTACTTTCGTTTTTGTTTTTAATTACTTCTTCTTTTTCCTCATTTTTCATTTTCAAATCGAAAAACTGAAAATGACTTGCTTGTTGTTTTTTGGTTTTCGTTTTCAAATCAAAAAATGGAAAAATGACTTGTATTTAGTTGTGATATATTCGTTTTTAAATTTACAGGTCTGACATTTGGCGCCATAGGGACAACACTTGATGCCCCTATGCACAAACCTATGAGACTTGTCGGAAAGAACAGTGTTTTCTAAGTAAATGCTTCAGAATTTTCTTAGCTAAATTTCACTTTTTAGGACATGTTGTCCCTTTCTGACAGCTGGTGTCAGCTGTCAGAAAGGAAGGGAAAATTTGTGTTGTCCATATAGGAAAGTCTTTCCTTTAAAATTATATTTATTTTTATTTTTTGTTTATTTTGAAGTAGGCTAGACAGCAAAAGAAAACGTGAAATTTGTACCACTTTAACAATTGCAAGAAGGCCACTTCTTCAACCTACATTGTCACGTACAGGCAGGTGCCGGACAGAAAGGATTGGCCTATGATCAAATGATGTGAGCCCACACAAAATACAGTAAGTCAAAATCAACTCACCAGGCAACGTGAATGACAAACAGCGTACAACCAGGTAACACCAAGTCATCACTTCCTAGCGACCACCGCCTACCTAAAGCAACTAAACCAGGCATCTTGGCCGACTGTTACATCTACCAGCTGACAAAAATCACATCTTATAAATCCCTGTCACAAAGAATCGCGTTCTACGATACTTCTAGTGTTTTCTAGCAGTCAATTCACCGCGTAATTCGACACAACTCCATGGCGAGATGAGAGAAACCGAATCCCGTACCAGCCGCCCCGCAACCTAGCTTTGCCACACTGTAATACGCGCGCGCTACACGTGTGTACTGTGTATTGCAGATGCTCGGCCGCGAAATAGGGCAGAGAGGGCGCTATCGACCACTTACGGAACTCCAGATAATCGGAAAGAGGGGGGCCCGGAGTTGTAATATCTAATGGTAAAAAAGACCCAGCAAGGCTGAAACGAACCTTTATTTAACCAGTAGCGTTGGCATGTTATGAAGGGATTAAAAGTGTCATTACCGAGAAAAAAATGGACAACCATTATTTTCACACACAAAGGTTATTTTGCACCCCACGCCATGACTCAAAACCTGGGTGCGTCACAATCATTTTTTTCAAACTCCCAGTAAGGATTTCTGGATTATTTGGGTCAAGCAAGTACGTGTCATTTGTCTGACAGTTCATTACAATGCTTACTGATTCCGTTTTCCGCGTACTGTATTACGGAATAGGCATGATTTGTTTTTGATTTGGTCAGTGAACATATAACTTGCGCAAATACCCGGGGGCCCGTCAGCCGTGCGCAATCATGGCGCCGTTTACGGTTTGAGAAAGGGCGCTCAGGAGTGGCGTGCATTGTCAGAGACCGTTATGACGGAGGAAACTAGATTTCCTATGCCCAGTATTGATTACCTACAATAACCAGGGTCAATAGTACAACCACTACCGGTATTCTGGAAATGTTTCTATATAGAAAGGAAGTACCCTCTCACCAACTGCTTTTCATCGTCTCTATATCAAGAGTACCGTACTATTCTGCCAAAACTGTCTTTACTAGAAAAAATAAGAAAGCAAAGAAAAACATTAGTTATACTTGTTATCGATTACTTGTTATCGTTTTTCTTTATTTTTTATATCGTCACGCACCCCTTAAATCGCACTCACCTTTCAGTGAACGTTTAGCGGATGCGCGCTCTATTGAATAGCCAGCGGTCACTTGTATCGTTTGTTTGTGTTCAAGAGTTTTGCGAAAGACCCAAAATGTTGGAAATTAATCCTGTAATCTTAGTTTATGAGTTTTAGAAGTAAACGGCCTTTTTTCGGCGAACTTTCCTGGACACATTTACTAGAGTTTGTGTTGTGAGTCCCCCTCCCCCCAAAAAATTCAGGTCATCTAACAGTTCGCCCTCTATTGTCTATTATGTACTTTAAAAAATCTGCACTAGCAATGCCCTTAATCAGCTTTATTGAATCCATTAGGGGCCATTTTACAGAGCCGAATATAAAGCTTGCCCGGCAATGCCCGCCTTTATTCTCCCTGGTGTCAATAAAAGGGAGCTGACCCCGGCATTTGTATGGCGGCTCAGTAAAATGGCCGCTGGTAGGCTTCTATTTCATACAAAGATGTTGCAAGTCCAGGTTTGTTTTATATACGTCCGTGCTTAAACGTGTCTCTTCTTCAACCTCATCCAACAGCGACCAAATCGCCAATTACAGGATGGTACGTGAAAATTAAATAATATACGACATTTAATTAACAAATAAATAATTAACACCAAAAATTCCAAAATTCAAAAAAGACATTACAATTAAATAATACAACTGAAATTGTATAGATAACGCAAAAGCTGCACATTCATAAAATTTTTCACATAAAATTGGATTAACTAGACGAAATTGCGTGGTAGAGCTGCTTATACGAAAACTTCCAAGGCTTGCAACACCGAACAAATCACACCTCCCATGGAGTCGGTTGTAGGTCGAGGAGATTCTGGAGTCAAAACCATGCTTTGTGACCTCAACACGACTCCGTGGGACATGTAAGATGTGCTATATAGTTAGCAAGCCTTGTCCGTCTGCTAGGTACATGTAAGCTAAATGGATTAGCATCGGTGACATTGAGAAGATTGTGAAAGTGTTTGTACAATAAACATTCATTGACAGATGGTCTCATGGAGAGTGGTATACATTGTACCGCTCACACAATGGATAATATTCAAGATTACAGTTATTTCTATGCATATTCTTATACATGAAATAAAGAAATTTACGTTGAACTCTTTCAATTCTGGTAGCCTGATGGCAAGAAATGGAGTCGAATATTACTGTGCAGCACTCAAGGTGTGGTTTAACTAGGGTACAGTACAAGGTTCGAAGTGCATGTTCATCCTTAATTTATCGAAAATTACGCCAAATTAAACCAGACATGCGGTTAGCCTTTTTGATGACACAATCAACATTGCGAACAAAAGTAAGCCGTGAGTCAATGAAAATACCTAGATCCTTCTGAGCAGCAACCTGATTGAGAACAGTATCGTTTATGTGATTATTTGAACCAAATGGCTTCCTCTTGAGGGTTATGGAAATGAAACTACACTTACGTATACTGATAAACAGCCGCCAGGCCACAGACCAATAATAAAGCTTGTTTAAATCTTGCTACAGGCAAAAAAATGTGACGAAAGATTTTTAGATCATCAGCAAACATTAAACAGTGATTATTCAAATGCTGCGAAATGTCGTTAACAAACAAGTTGAAAAGTAATGGACCGAGAATTGAACCTGTGGTATTCCAGAAGGCGCCGAATTCCATGATGAACAATGTCCATCAACAACTACTCTGTGTTTTCTGTTGAATAGGTAATTCTGAAGCAATAACGAGAAATTGGGATGGAGATTATAATTATGACGTCAATTTGAACAAAAAAGATCATGTGAAACACGGTCGATGGCTTTTGAGAAATCTGTGTACACAACGTCCAACTGCTGTCCCTGGTCAACAGCACAGTATGCCCCCTGCAGTAGTGATGTTAGATTTGTAGAACAGTCCTTGACTGAGACAAACCCAAGCTGCCGCTCAGAGAGAGCAGGATGGACATGCTTCACGATACATGTATGTTCATACAGTTTCCTCTCAAAGACCTTTGACACATGAGAAAGAAGAGAAACTGGTCTGTAATTGGCTACATTTTGTCCTTTGCCAGATTTGTGAATAGCAACCAAATTGGCAACCTTCCATTGAGAGGGTAGGTGCCAGAACAAAGTGCCATTCGAAACAACGTTTGCCAATGGAGCACCAAAAATACCAGCATAAGATTTCAGCAAAGAACCTGATATGTTGCCTGGTCCACTGGCTTTAGAAACTTTGATTTCTGAGAGTTTCTCAAAAACACCAGAGTCAGTTATTTGAGTGGCTGACATGGTGGGCAGGTTGAAGGTGTGTAGGGCTGGCCTGGTGCTGGACTGTTCGGAATCCGACAGATAGACAGGCTGGAAGTAGTCCGTGAGTAGCTCAGCTTTTCCCAGTGGGTCAGATGCTTCAGTTCCTAACAATAATTCATTTTGCAGGACGGAGGGCAGAGTGTGTCGGTGACATCTGGTTTTGATGAAGGTCCAAAAACGTTTTGGGTTGTCACCAATGTCTTTCGCAAGAGATGCTAGATGGTCAGCGTACTTGGTTCTTGCCAGGCGCTTGAATGATATTCGGGCTTCCTTTAACAACTCTTGGTTTTGTGTAAGTGGATTTGACATTTTCCTTCGAAGTGCATGTCGTAGTTCATCATTAAACCATGGGGGAGAGTGGCAATAATGGAGAATTACAGGGACAACATCCAACATAGCTGCCTGTACTAAATCCTAGAGAAGAGATGTTGCCTCATCACTCTTATTAACAGCATCCAAGATATTCCATGGGGTGTTCTGCTCAGGTCATTCAGGTCCGCTTTCCAGAAGTTGAAGACAGGACGGGAGGTTGGGGGTAAACTTAGTGCGACTATAAATGCCGAACTGAGCTCTGATAGAATTGTGATCCGATTGGAAGATATTGTCCCCAGTTTCGGATGAAACTTTCAAATGTTTTGAGTGAAGAACAAGATCTAAGATGTTGGTGCCTCTGGTTGAATTAAGATTGGCTTGATGGAGATTATATGTGGTCGTCAGGTCAATAAAGGTGTCGTCAATGGCAGATCCACTGGATCCATATACACCGGTATCAGGGTTCCATTCCAGTGTTGGAAGGTTGAAGCATGGAGGAAGGACCCCAACCCTTCCTCCATGGTTGAAGTCACCAACAACACAGACCTTTTGATAATGCTCAGAAATAAACAACGGTGATTTTGATAGTGCCTCGAGCGAGTTATGGCCTGCGTTAGGGGGTTTGTAAAAAAAAAACCAATGGCAGCTTTGTTTCGCTGCGACAGCCGAACTTCCAACAATAGAAGCTTCAAGTCTGGGCGCTCCAAATCCTCTCGTCTTTTGCACTCAATGGAATTGTGACAGCCTAGAAAAACCCCTCCAATACGGCGATTACTCCTGTCGTTAACGAAAGACTGTAAAGCCAGGGATGGCGATCTTTGAGTCAGAAACATCTGCGTTTAATCAAGTCTCAGTGATGGCAAAACAATTGAAGGAGCCATTTTGGTGGAGATGAGCAGTGAAGGTGCCATGAAATGTGTCCAGTTTATTCTTGAGGCTTCTCACATTCTGCAGATAGATGTTCAGGTTCACAGAACTGGAATGATTACCATGGCCATTGAATCCATTCCCATTTCCCGTGCTGCTGGATGGGTTTGGTGCACACTGATCAGGACCAGGATGTCATTAAAATTAACTCAGTGAAGCACTTCAGGGGTTCAAATAGGACCCTTCGCTTATTATGGTAAGCTTCAAAATGTTACTTTTTTTGGGTTTTTTGTCAAGTGAATGGATATTAATTTTAAAAAGTAGTGGATCCATTTCTAGTGTTCGTTATTCATTTTTTCCTTAAAGAGAGCTAGATTACTTGGGTTGACACTAGGTTGCCCATATTCATGAATAAAGGTAGTCAGTGGTAGGATGGGATATGCGCCAACCTGATAGGGCACAGATATAAACCCAAGGGTGTAGGAGGGGTGTGGATAGGAATGGGCGTGTTCACTAACTTGTGGAGGTGGTTGCAGGGCGTACAAATAACAAAGAACATGACAGTAAATGTTGGGATGGAATTAGGTCTACCAGCTCCAGGGCGGTGTTCTTGAAGGACATTCAGACTAATGTACATGTATTTGTGGATAGGGATATCTTACAAATTATTTGTTCATTATTATGATTACAGATTTATTTTTGGAGGGGGATTGAGAGACAAGGTCGATGTGGATAGTTAATAATGGAGTCATGGGGTGTACAGCAGAGGGGACAGACCACTGGAGCATATGGGATGTCATATTTAGTGTTTGGGCTGGTGAAGACTGCAAAAACTGACAAGTAAATAACCAAAGAACACGTTAAGAGACTTTACTTGTAATTTATTATGCAAAGATGTTAAATAGTGACAGACCGAGGAACTTCATATTATAAAAAGTAAAAACACTGTCCTTTATTAAAAATCATTTGCCCGTTACTGATTTAAGAAAATTATTCAAATGATCTGGAAATAAGTACTGGAAATGTGAAGTTTGAAGCTATTGAAATTGCTTTAAAAACTCAAAGAATATAAGCATATCGGGAAAACGTTTTGTTTATTTTTCAATAAATTAACCTAATGTTAATTAATGCAAAAACCGGAAACAAGGTATTAATCTCCTCTTAGACAATCAGATGGAGTACAAAATCTCTTTCATTTTGGAAATTGTTTCATTATGAATGTTTTTACTGCCCCAAGGGTAACGTAATTTATTGCTTTTAGGCGAAATGCTTGTCTTGAGCTAATCATATCGATGCCCATGGTTACCGATCGCAACCAAGCAGACCAATTGCGATTTGCATACTTTCAACTTGCTATGACCAACGATGCGACCCTTGGACGTGGAAGGCTTGATTTTGACTACCAGATAGCATTTTTGTGATATGAATTATTATTATTATTATATTTTGGGTATTGACACCAAGGATTCCTCAAAAGCGCCCTGGGCACTGTAGTTCGCAAGCCTGAGTTACAATTTTAGAGGTGGGAGGAAATTCCCAAAGGAATATTCTGGGTAAAACCCATGAAATCAAGTAGGGAATGAAAACCCAATCCACATGTGGACCGGGCCAGGATTCGAACCCGGGTCGCAGAGGGGGAAAGAACCACTATGCCAACCTGACTCCCCCAATGCGAAGTCACCGGTTATTTCATTAATTATTGAGCAGAAAATGTGAGATGAGGTAATAAGCAAGTTGGCGTAGTGGTTCTTTCCTCGCCTTCCACCTCTGCGGTCCGCATTCACGGCTCGGTCCACATGTGGATAGAGTTTTCAGTCCCTATGATGACTCCGTGGGCTTTACCCAGAATATTCCTCTTGTGTTTCCTCCTCTAAAACTGTAATTGCTTCTCATCGTTTCCTCTCTACAAGTTGGAGTGATATTTCCCCTGGGATGCTTTGCCAACTTTACGATACAGGTAGATACATAGATAGCTTTAACTGGATGTGTGTCTCAAGCACCCGAGAGACTTATAAATAATTTCCCCGAATTTTCGAGGTGAGGGTGAGGACTGCAACTTTTCCAACCTGTCCGCCAAGTTACAATCAAGGGCGCCCTCTATCAAATAATGATAAAATGTCAGGTAGTCTCCTCCATGCTAATATAATGCGTACAGTACGTGCGTGTCTTACTACATTCTCGGCCCGAACGCTGATGAAGAAAACACGCCTGACAGGAATGTTGTCTCGACTTGATGTAACCAAATTTCACTTCACGGCATGATCGTTGTTTTTTCAAAATATCAGTATAAATGAGGTTATTATGTCGGTCCTGAAGTTGTGACTTACATGTAGCTACATCTTATTACAGCTTTGTTCTTGAAAGGTAATTTCGTTCAAAAGAGATAGGCCTAGGCCAAAACTGTAGGCCCCATTGACATCCGTACAGTAGCGTGGGCCACGGGCCTAGGCCGGCGAGATCGAGATAAACTTTCAGCATTGTTCAGGGTTTGCCCAATTACCGTAATTCAGGCAGACCATTTCCCACTTGTCCTTGACCATGTTCACACGTCCGCTGGTTTCTATCACATCCTGGTTGTGTGGTAAGTATTGTTTCATCCTATTCTCGGAGTTACTTCAGGACTCTGTCATGTGTTTGGACGTGTCCGTTTGTAAATTGTAGGGCCTCCTGACACTGTTTTGTGTGGGAAACAGAACAGGTCACTATTGTGTACATGTAGGTACTAGGTGATCATGGTGCTTCTCTTTGGACATTCATTCATAAATCATACTTCATAGTTCATATGGTAGGCAAATCTATTAACAATTGTATCTTAAGAGCTGCATGAATGCTTGTGGAAGTTGTGGCTCATCATTCTGCCTCTCTGTAGTAACATGTCCAAGACAACCAGCCCCATTGACATTGTACATTACATGTACAGATGTATGTATGTATGTAACATGTCTTTTCATTAGTCTTTTCTTATTTGTAAAATAATGTCAGGACATAAGGTAGAAATGCAACAAATTTTATTGTTATGGAAAGAGTTCCATATTGCATACGTTTTTTTGAAATTGTGCAAATTTGAAATGTGCGTGTGCAATTTTCAAATTATGCTCAACCACGGATACATGTACATGTTTTGCCATAAAAATTGTGCACAGAGATAAATATTGTGTGAACCACAGGCAACAGTCTACTCGTATCCAAGTGACTGACATCAACTACATGTTTTGCATGATTTTGTTTGGTCTGTTTTGCGCGTGATGTGTGTGCTGCATGTACAGCGTGGCACGTACTTACAATGTATGGGGCCAGAGCATGGTCACCCATGAGAAATTTCACCATTTAAGCATTTTGATGAATCTTTGCCATGTGAAACAATTAAATTCCCCCATTGACATTTAATTCGGGAAATTTTTAGAGCCATATGTACATGTATTTACATGTATGATTATAACGATGAACAAAGAAATTGACTTGAGCGGGATTTGAACCTGCGACCTCTGGAATACTGTACCAGTGCTCTACCAACTGAGCTGACCCAGCCGTATGTTAGTGGTTCTTCCCATTTGTATTGATATCTCTGTTCGGGGGGCGCTAGCCAGAAGCTAGCGCCCCCGAACAGAGATATTGATTCCTGATATATAATTTTAGGGAAAATTATTAATGTCTATACATTTAAAATCTTCCTATTTTGACCATGAAGTATCCAGTATACTTCATTACCTGTGTGGGCCACGTGGCCCATTTACCCTTTTACCCATTTGTCACTTTGCCCATGTGCTACCAGTACTTTATTTACAGTATATTACAGTACTTTCAAAAGTAAGCTGAAATCTTGTCTACTGTGATAACGTGCCATTCTCTGTACAAACCTTCATCTTGATTAATTATTCTTATGTCGGTCTGTGTCCACTGTTTTCATTCCGTATCGTTCATTTCATCGAGGGTCCGTGATTTTATTCGTTTATCACCTTGTGATTACACAATGTAGAATTTTTGTTTCATTGTTTGTATTATTTGAATGTATTGTATGTCATTTGTTAGATGAGCTAGCCTAACACAAGCCTTTGCTTTGTAGGCGTTTTCCCCCTCTTCTTGGTTTCTTTATGATTATTAATACATTTGTTTGGGTAATACTTCATGACTATTTAATACTGTATTACCATAAATGTCTTCAATGTTAGTTACAACCTACTCCCAGAACGCTGGGGTTCACTGTCCACCGCTTTCTCACAAACGCGGCAGATGACAGATCCTGCAGTTCTGAGGTTACAGTAGTTGTAACCTACTGGCAGCTTTGTGGCTTGACTGAATTCAACATTGCGAACTAGGCCAGTGCTGGGTACCCAGGTACCGGTACCTGTACCCACCCATCAATATCAAAACCTGGTTCCATTTTTACGGGCTGGGTACCCGTAAAAAAGTCCATATGTACAAAATGTATGTAAACTTTAAACAGTGAAGGGTACAATTGCTGAAAAATCAATGTGCAGCTGAAAAATCCGGTCCCATGGTCATAGCTCCGCTTCAGAGATTGACAGAGCTGCTTTTCTTACAAATTAAAGGTAACACATTGTTTCAGAAAAAAAGGTTGGGGAGATTCCCCTCAAATGTTTAGAACAATGTGCTGCTTTCTATGTACAAAAACTGAGCCCTGTTTTGGCACATGGTCCACGGGATTTTTCACAATGCCATTTGGTAAGAGTTCTTTATATTTTAAGGGTACCCATGTACATGTACCCGGTATTGACATAAAATGGGTACCGGGTTCCAAAGACACATGTACCGGTAAATGCACACCCCTATTAATAATTAAGAACCCAACAACTTAACTTGAAATGACTCCGCTCAAGTTGTTCAATTCAGTACTACTCACAGCTCCTTCGAAAATAAAAAGGGGGTGGGGCTTCCAAACTTATCGCTAAAAGGAAAATTGAGGAGCCCACACTGCAAGCTTTATGAGAAAAAAATTTGGAACTATTCTGTGGATCCCTTGAAAGGCTTGGGGATGTATTCCACATTTACAAATCAATTGGCAGTGTTCGAGGGTTACAAGTGTAATTATTATGAAAGCATTGTAATAAAATCAGATATTGGCCAAGCAAGATAAATTGTCCTCAATACAATTGAAGTGTTTTGTTGCAATAATGGTACCAGCAAATTTTCAAATTGTACTTTGCCATTTGTTCCAGAATATAAAGACATTAATTGAACACCTGATACTGTGCGTTCTATTGATTTAATTCTCAGACCTTCAAAATATCATTTTGAGAGAAAATTATATAATGGTACATGTGCTTACTATACCGCTATGTACATGGTGTATGTAACTTTGGACTTTTGTGCACTTTTGGAAGTCCTTCTTTTATAGGCATTCTTCAGTTTAAAGTTGTCCATGTTTTTGTCCTTGTCTTTTTTTTACATTTTAGATATGAAATAGGAAACAGGTGCTTTGGCGTTGGAAAGCTTCTGGATACAGGGGTTGAGTTACTATAGTACCGGGTACTTGCTTATCTGAAATCAGACCAGCAAATAATCCACGATTGATGTATTCCATACATGAACATTCAACAGACTTGTATTTGTAATCCCTTGAATTACATGTATGTCAGTTTTTCTGCACCTATTGCTCACTGTGATGTACATGTACACACGTGTATTAGTATGTGTGTATGTACATGTGCTAGCTACATGTACATGTAGGTACATGTACAGACAGTACATCTACATGTAAGTAAACTACATGTTGATAGGTTTCCGGTAGCACCATGGATATCTCTCTTTTTTGAGCATGATAAGGTTCTGAAAAGAACCCAAGGTACTCAACGTTTCAGACAGTGTGCTCTGTCCGTCATCAGGAGAATGTTGACATGAATACATACATCTGTACATGCAAATGTACCAATACATACATGTACAAAATACATGTATTGTGTTTGTTTTACGGGTACATGTACATGTACATATGTAGCTTATATAATGTTGACATATACACTGATGTGGTTATGTACTATTTAAATATAAATGTACCTGTACCTGTAGACTGCGCAATTATCACCTTTGGTTTACACTCTGAATTTCAAAAACAAATAACTGTACTGCAGGTGCAACAGCTTATACATACATACTTCCCATGTACAATGTATGTACACATCCCATGAGTTGGTTTGAAACAGAATAAAATCATATGTCTACATCCCACACACATGTACAGTGTACTTGTACATATAATACAAGTTTGAAGTAAATGCTCAGTAAAGAGGGATGTACACTTGGGGTTGTTGTCGTGTTCATGTACTTGGACTATGATTACTTTGTGTTTGTACTAGTATTTGAATGTGGAAGCCTCTTTCTTTACTGTCAGTATAATGTACTTGTATCCATGAATCCTTGTGCAGTGAAATGATGAACTTAGTTCTGACAGGTTAAATGATTCATTGCACATGGATTCAACTTGCGGAAAGGAACATTCCATCCGTCACCTCGTGAAGATATTCCTACCATTTTATGCGTAAATATTTATAATCATTGCTGTGATTAGGGAAAATATAGGACGGGGCTTGATGGACCAATCTATCAAATTACATGTACCAGAATCTGTTGATGAGAGATGCACATGGCAGGCGTACATGTATACTGTATGTACAATAGTACCAATGTGTTTTGTAGTGTTTTATGTACCCGTAATGAAACACAGATTCTGTTTTTTATTGACAGGTATGATGCTGGTAAGATTACCCTAGACAGACAACAATCTGATAGGTTCATGATTTACGTACAGTATTGGATCATCTGGCACAGTCTATGTGCAGGAACTACATACATGTCAATGGTGGCATTAACCAGTAAAACGGTTCAGTCCTCCACATCTGTTCAGTCCTGTGATTTACAGCTTCTACGTACATTGATTCTGAGGAGTCTCAGCAAGTGGAGATGTGACCATGTCCCAAATGGCTTCCATGACATCTGACTTCTGAGCATGTCCTGTGAGTACCGAAGGAGAGATATATTTCTCATCTGCATCCAGCGAGGTTAATAGTTTCCCGCCACTACAAAGCAGCATGAAGAAAGCAAGAGGACCAAAGTTAAAACTCCGATACCGACGTTATTACATCATTCTATTCTCCATAATCCTGTTTGGACTAGTCACCACAGGTATACTTCAGTTCTGGCCACATTTCCTGATGGAAAGCGACGTGGATCACCGTCTTAGATATGTCATTCCGGACCTCTTAAATCTACCAGAGGTCGTCATTTCCAAAAATATACAGCTGCCGGAAAAAGGCGACTTAAAATGCCGTTACTACAACTGCTTTGATGTTTATCGGTGTGGTTATAACCTGAATCGTATTGGTGTGTATATTTATCCTTTACTGAAATACATTGATGAAGATGGGGTTGAGATTACGAACAGAATATCCAAGGAATTTTATGAGATTCTTATGACAATAGCAGAGAGTCCATACTTCACTGCAGACCCAGAGAAAGCTTGTTTGTTTGTGCCTGCTGTTGACTTTTTGAATCAGGACTCCACCAGAGTTCAGGAAACGGGACAAGTCCTGGCTCAACTTCCCAAGTAAGTGTTCTGCTCAAATGTACTATGTACATGTACATGGACTGTATATTTCTTCCGTCATCTTTTGGTACCGGAAATCTCTTTATAGTATGCCTGGTACATACTGATACGTATGTAGATCCTTGTTTTGAAGCAATCCTTTTGACAGTTTAAGTCATGAATTTTAAGATTTATGGCTTTCACGATAGGTTTTTTACAACAGCAGTCTCTGAATTTAAAGTATGGTACACTTACAGTACACCATTGGTCAAATCTCAAAAAAAAATTGGACTGTTGTATTATCTTTATTTTTGATTGTTGAAAGAATTGTAAGTTCAACTTGAGTCAATCCTACACATGTACCGGTATTTCCAAGAAAAAACCCAGAAAGCTCTGTTTTCTGGCGATTGTCAGCTGACCATTGTTGGAAAGTACATGTACTTGTACGTATCGTTTGTTAAAAGTAGCTCACCCATCAACATACATGTATGCCAATTTGTGTGTGTACAGTTGTTGCACATGTAGCAGTCTAAATTAACAGATAATACACTTTACATGTACATTGTCTAAAAGCCATTAAAACAATATGTTTTGTCAGCATTTGCCAAACTCATTGAAATTGAAAGAGGAGGGAAACAAGTGGAGAATACAACTTACAATAGAATTTACAACATGTAGATCAGGTCAAAGTTGAATTTGTTCATATCTGCTGGGCAGATTGACCTTGTATGTACATTGTTCACTCACTAAAGAATATCCTCTGGTCTGTGGATTTTGAGCAAGACAAATTATACTTTCACAGTTGAAAATGAACCATGTTTTTATTGATTTTTCTCAAAGCAGTGATCTGAAAACACGAAAGAGGTCAGTGTAATGGTGACTTGGCTAAACTTGTAAAAAGTTACGCAAAAACCCCCAAAACATTAACAAACTGGTGATGTACCCTGTATTCTCCCTTCAAACTCCATGGGTCTTTGGAGTTACATGTAGGAAGGCTTTCATGTTCAAATGCCACTGCATACATGTACATGTACCGGTATGTGTAGACTGTACCTTGTGCATGTGCATGTATATGTAAATCTGTGTGTTTACCCCCACCATGGTAGCACTCTGTAAGTTAATGCTTCCTGGAATGCTAAATCATACCAAAGAGGATTTCTAATCCCTTTTTTTTCTCCTTCATCTGTTCATGTTCAGTTGGTGTGTATTCCATCAGCAACTCACTGTATCTTCACAACCTCTGCCCTGAAGACAGTGATACACTTTTCCTTCCACGCTGATGGAACCTCTCTTTGTGAAAAGAAAAACAGGATTTGTTTTCTGTTGAGTGAAAAAGTGGATGGAATCCACAGACAGTATGGGATTAAGCAGTAAGAGATGGGCGGTCAGGTATTGAATAGAATAAATCCTGTATCTACATGGGGTACAGAAATTGTGCATGTACATGTAGTGGACTGGAGTTAGATCATAGAGCTTGACTAATTATCCAAAGCACGTACTGTACACGTACAATAATGTACAGTACACATGTACATGTACAAATACTCTTACTCGTACATGTATATATGTGTACATGTACAGTGTATGTACAGTGTACATGTACATTGCAGCTCTGTGCATGGAGCTACTATGTATGGGTCTGTTGAACCAGTACATGTGCATGTACGTGTACACAATGTCCTGATATAGTACATGTACATGTACATCGCATACTACAGTGTATGTGTACATGTGCATATATATACATGTACGTTCTTTGAGAAATACAGGATATCTACTGGTACATTGTACAGTGTACATGTAAGTACAAGTATACACATTGTTTTGCTGTATCAATGATACATGTACGTATCAGTTGTGTCTTCAGCTTAACATCATCCCCTATCCTCCCCAATTCCCACTGGTGGTTTTGCCTGATTTAGTAGATGGTCCAGTTACAAAAAGTGCATTGATTTTGGATTGGGTAAGTTACCAATAAAGATGTACTGTTCATGTATGGTACCGGTACTTTACCAGGTGTACTCTTGGAAAAGGTGGATTCACTTACAGGTACATGCATGTACATGTACAGTCTACTTCTAAATGCCCAGGGCAATTGTATGCATTGCTGCTACCAACTGCCACATTGGTGCAGACGGTAAATACATTAAATCCAAGGATTTCAATCCACTCTGTAACATTTGACCTGTGGTTGAAAAAGATTGCACTGTTGGGGGAAGGATGGGACAACAGGTGAAGGAGAAAATCGGATCAGATCGAAATCTGGTTGGGTAATTTGTGCTTCAGTAGATTGTGTTTGGTATGATTTCCAAGCAGCCACATACCAAGTTAGCCTGTTCAACTACATGTACATGTACATGCACTATCCATTTGGATAGTGCGCTTCATGAAAATCAGTGAAAACACACTCTAGAGTGTGAAGCCCACCTGTTGCTCACTTTTAATTGTAGGTTAAATGTACAGAGACATCAGTGGGACCAGATCCTTAATCTGCACCAATTTCAGTTTCACATATTAATGCTTTGTATTTGGGAAAGCTTGTGTTCTCATCACTACTAATGCTAGAATGCAGGAATATGTACATGTATATGTATACATGTACATGTACATCATTACTGCACATGGAAATCTCTTGGTGTCATTGTTTTTTAACTAAGGAAAAGCTGTTGTTTTGTTACATGTACCTCTAAAAGTTTCTACCGGAATTTTTTTGTGTCTGTTCCGTCTGTACTCTGTGTTGTCTTGTATTTGCAAAGGTTTTTTGTAGGATAATTTCCAATGATTCAGTCATGTCAGTAGGGAATACACTTTGCAGAGTGCACAAGAACATGTACTGTACATGTACATGTAATGCATGTACTGTACAATGTACATGTACTGTGCACATTTCGCACCAAGGCAGATTTGGTGTCTTTTTTCAGTTAGAAATAACATACATGTAATTAATACATACATGTAATCACGTACACTAAAAGAAAATTTTAAAAGAAGATGGCCGACAAGTTGTGAAGTCACAGAAGAGGTTAAAGCATCGATCATGAACATGTTCAGGAATTACTATAGACGACCCTCATTTTGCCCACATGTACAACTTGTATCAGTTGGCAGCTAAAGTATGCAGAAATATTTTGGTTTGTTCTCGATTTCACCTCCAGTTTGTTCAAAATGGACATTTTTCCCATTAATTTTAAATGAGGTTGTATTTTCAGTTAGTATGTATGTAGCACAGGTACTATCTGGTGTTCAGATGTAGCTGTGTGGGATTTGTAACACTTTGTGAAATTCTTTCAGCCACTCGTAGGAAAGACATGACTGTGACATCATAAGAGTAGACCCTATACAAGGTACCGGTATCTTATCCCTCATTCCTAACTGTCCCATCATTCTGCTTGTACCCCTCTGGTTCAGGTGGCATGGAGGTACAAACCATCTCTTATTCAACATGCTGCCAGGATCATCTCCTGAATTCAATACTGCCCTCGATGTCCGACGAGGGAAGTCCCTCTTGGCTGGGGGAGGGTTCTCTACCTGGACGTATCGGCCCAATTTTGACATCAGTATTCCTGTGTATAATCCAGATGTAGCTTCAATTTATTTATCGGCCAAACCGGATGGGTGAGTATGTACATGCACATGTACACTGTGTGCACAAATATTGGGCTTGTTAGCTAACCCTCCTTTTGCTGTAACCATCAATAACAGTCAAAACTTCCTTCCATTTCCCCTGTACAGTACGTAGACATATCATGTGTCACTTGACTGATTTTGACTGATAAGACAACTGTGTTGAGAATGCATCTTTGCATACATGTAGGAGGGATGGCTGGCTAGCTACATGTACCGTAGCCAGTGTACATGTATGCACATGGTAGTTACCGTGTGTTGTATTGAAAGTATGATACATGTACCAGTGTTACTGTACAATGTATGTCCAAATCTTGTATCCTCGGAAACCAATTTACTAAAGACAATATTACATTAATTTGAAGTTGTTTATAGTCATACAGTTTATGTACTGTCTCTCAGTGTATTCCTGAAGAATGTAATTATTTCATTCACAGTTCCTTATTTAAACTGCTAAAAATCTCCTGACTCTGGGAATTTTCTACATACATGTAGAGTCTGTGCTTTTGAGTATTTACAGAAATGCTCAAAAAACTTTGTTTAAAACTTTGAAATGAAGTTTAGAAGATTCTTCTGTGCTCTTTGACACCATCTAAAAATTCATTTCTGGAAAAAGCATGATGCACCTGTGCAGTTAGTTCATGAATCTACCTGTATGTTGAATACACTCGGCATATTTATCTCCAGTCTGGACTGACAGGGTGAATCTCTGGTTTCCTCTTCGTATCCAAGATAAATTTCCTTCTTGGAAGATCAGTGTTGATGTTTTCCCAAAGGAAACGTTACTCATTTCCCCATTGTTTCCAATTCTCCATTTTGGTTTTCATGTCTAATTTAACCTTTTATTTTACTTTTTCCCCCATCTTCAGCTTTGTTAAACCGTTTTTAGCCATATCTGCACAAGCTGGAATTCACTTAGATTTTAGAGATGAACTTAACGCAATTGCCGCAAACCATAGGGACTTTCTAGTGCTGGACAAATGCCAAGATGTGTCAGCCTCATCCAAAATGTGTAAAGACACAACTCAGTACAACTATCCATACATATTGCAGGTAAGACATCTTGACCTGTTTGGGAAAGGATTATGTTGAACAAAGAAAAGTGACCGACAGAGGATTAGAAAATGGACCAAAGTGAAAAGCCCACCCTGGTTCTGTCCCATCTGAGCTATCCATTTGTGCCTCTCAGCTCTCACAATTTGTTTTTGTGTTCTGGGTACATTTTATCAATCTCACAAAGTGACAAAACTTCCCTATCATGCAAAAGAGACATCTGAGAAAAATGTGTTTTAACATACCCGGCATGACCTTTTTCATCTTAAATTTTTGACCACTTTTGTTTCACGGACTGGAGAATTTTTTTGCATAGTCATGCAAAGTTAAGTTTGAAAAATGCTTAAAATCCACACTAATTTGTGATTTGTTGTTTTGATTAAACAGTAATTCATTAACAAAAGTTTCTTACACTTCGTAAGATTGTAAAACCTGTAGGTCTTACTTTTTCCCCTGTTGAATTTTAATATACGTAGTTTTTGTCACTTTGTGAGATTATATACGCAGTACGCACAAACAACATTGTTACATTTTGTTGCATTCAACATGCACCCAGGTGTTCATGTTCAATATCGTTCGCATACATGCACACAGTATCTTGACATGACCAGAGCTGTGTTTAGTTTCTATTTTTGCCCTGGAACAGAGGAGGTTTTTGCTACTTCATGAGACCAAAAAACTCTAGAGACCGTGCTCTTTGTCAAAGCGTGATGTCATAAAATTATGTTGCAGGTCTATTATATCCATGTACATGTATGCACGCTGCCAAATGTGGCCAGGAATCAAGCCCAATGTCACAGTGTTACATGTACCAATTACACAGACCTGAGAAGTGACTGTTATCTAAAGTGGCTGCTATGATGTGTCGCAAATCAATATGTGTTCTGAGTTTTACATAATACAATTTGAGTATTTTCCACACAATAGTTCATTTACATTGGGAATGTTTCTTGAAGATTAAGTTTAAGCGGTGCATTTTTACTTCAAAAAGGGAAAAGACAGCAAGAGCAGCAAGTTATGTGAAACATCTCATCCCTCAGTGATGTAGATGATGTTACTATGGTTACAAGCCAATTACGTTAAATTTATATTTAATGAGGTAGGCCTTTTATACGTAAGCCATTAACGATGGAGTTTAGTAAGCAATGCATGATCCAGTAATTTGTGTGTTTCTGGAATCTGCCCCCCTATTGTTTCATATGAGCAAGCCTTGTCTATATTAGATTCTTCCAAGCTAATTAAGTAGCCAATTAAAAAGGCCTTTTTTGAAGGCTACTCATTACCCGCCATTATTAAGGGATCACACACAATACACCTACATGGTAAAAAAAGAGTGGGGAGAGTTAAGGGACAGTCTATAATTCTCCTTAATTCATCTTGACGGAATTGAATAATGACTTATGGTCACAGTTTTTCTGCGCTTGTTTGGTATCTTGACTCCGTAATGCTTCTCTATTTGAGTAAGTAAAGATCGCTCTGGGCATTTTTGAAGTCTGAATATTTTACAAATGCCAGTGCACCAGCCGATGTTTGGCAAAACTGCAGGGTATCAGACATACTTAATGATTAGCCTTCCTTCATCCTTTTTGATTGGCGTATAGGAAGCCACATTTTGTATCATTCTTCGACGGTCTCGTCTGGGTCAGGCTGCTCTCAGTGATGCCTTACAAGCTGGATGTATTCCTGTGGTCATGAGTGACACGTATATCATGCCGTTTTCAGAGGTCCTGGATTGGCAAAGGTATGCAGTTAACACAGGATGAGACTTGTTATGTCGGTAATAATATTACTTGCCTCCTGAATCCACTTCTGGTCATGAGGTTATTGCGCAATTTTATTTGCTCAACCTCCATCTTGGTTGTGTCTTTGACATCTATACATGTTCATGTTCATGTATGTGCTTGTCTAAAAACTTGACACACTGAAGGCCTTAGCTTAATTATGCTCCCCTGTGTGTAGGGTCCAAATTGAGGAGAACCTAAACTTGTTCAAGTTTTCAACAGGAATTCAATTTTTAATTTTGTTACATTTTAGGTCCCTTTATTTCTGAGCAGATGAAATGATTAAAAGCTGTACCTGCCATTGTCTGGATGCTCGATTCACTCATTTACATAAACAGTTATTTACTAACCAGTTCTTAAAAGCAAAATCTGCATCTGTGCAGAATATCCTCATTATCACTGGAAATTGCTAAAATCTTTTGTAAAAATCTATTCTTATCTCCATAGAGCTGCCCTCATTGTTGAAGAGGCTTTACTTCCTGATCTACGGTCCATTCTTAACAAGATTCCCCCGTCTCAGATCAAGGAGATGCAGAGACAAGTGCATTTCTATTGGCAACAGTACTTTAAATCCATCAAAGATATCACCTTGACGACACTGCAGATAATTAACGACAGAATGTATCCCTACAGTGCCAAGGACTATGCCTACTGGAATGAGCCTAGACCACGAGTGAGTTTTGAAATGTCAAGGACTTAATCCAGTTACAACATGGAAGTCCAGTTTTCAGGAAAGAAAGTTTTCAAGTGTGGCTTGTTAGATTTATTGTTGTTTGTGTCCTTCAGATTCTGGGTACAAGACCGCTGTAGTAATGCAGTAGCAGATAACCTTTGGAAAATGCTAGTCCTCTCCATACATGTTATAGTCTGTAACTATTGAAAATGTGTTTAATCCATGTTAAGGGTTGACTCCTTCCCTGGTGACCATAACCACATGTATCTGAATGCAAATAATCATCATACTGCATGTTAACCAGTGAATGCACCTTCACAATGCCTGTTGCTAGGAGAACATGCACTAATACATGTATGTCACCATGGTTACCATGTATGCAAAGTGTTAAGATTGAGATTGTTGGCAAGGTTAAGAACTTATCGTGCATATTTGAAAGTAAAACAGTGAAAACAACGTATTTTTCTGTTATAGGTTGGTGTCATCAGCCCGCTGTTTTTGCCGTTGATCCCACCCAAGTCTGAAGGTTTCACAGCTGTAGTTCTGACTTTTGATCGTGAGGAGAGCTTGTTTGAAGTCATTCGTCGTATCTCACAGACACCTAGTCTCTCCAAGGTTCTGGTTGTCTGGAACAACCAGGAGAAATCCCCCCCGGCAGGTGAGGATGAACCGTCATTGTCAAGTTGTAGATCTGTCCGAATTCCAAAATATTCTCTGAATCTATTTTGTTTTCGGAATGTCATATTTGTTTCTATATTACTGAGAAATATTCTAGTCACTCTACACAATTTTGAAGAAAGGAAACTAGAAGTCTCTTTACTCATCACCCCCATGAATTTATTCGGACACGGTTGATGCAGGTGAAAAACTAGAGAAAAATACATACTCACATTAAGTAATACATTATTAAAGTATAAATGAAATCCACAATCAGACAATTACGTAAATTCAGAAAAACTTAACCAATCACAAACGAAGTAGGAGCTATTCGGCAGCATTATCAGTCACCGTGTTGGTCGAAAGCGTGGACCCACCTGAATCCAAAAACGCTCCACGCCCGACTACGTAGCAAACGGGCAATTAAAGAGAGTGATTGAGGTGAGTGAGGGAGGTGAGACTGGATTACATGGGGACTATCATGTAATTTGTGAATCCAAACAAGGGAAATATTCAGTGAAGGAAAAATATTATGCAACAAAGTAAAAGACAAAGCGGTGATGATAACAATTCGGCTGAGATTGAAATGGCAAGCCCTCTAAATACATGAATTGTCAAGCTTTTAGAGAGTACTGAAATGTAGTACATCAGTTAAGGAATAACAGTGTCAACTCTATTCTTTAGGATGCAGGTAATTTCAGAAATTAGGGGTCCATTTTTTTGTGTCCCTGTCACATCTGACATGATTCGATAAGTTCAGAACACATTTTCTAATTTTCAACAGTGATGAATTATTGCAAATTACCAGCCAAACAAATAGTAATACTTTGAAATCAATTCTGATGATATTTCTGTGTCAAATAACTAAGGTCAGATGTAACAGGGATACAAAAATGTCACACTTTTGGACTCCTAATTTCTGGAATTACCCATGTACAGTATTATTTGTGTGTTTTCCCTTACTTTGTGAATATTTTACCATGTTCATGGTAACCTTTTACTTCATGAGGTGATTATTGGTATTAGTATTGCTGGATTGAATAGTTTCTCTGCCAAGGAACCATGTTTGTTGGTGAAATAGCTGGACTACATGTACATGTATATTTAGCATATATAAATAAGTTATCAGTATCCCGGGGAAGCAGGTTAGACCTTCTTTTTTTCTAATTGCCCTTTTGGTGTGGAAATGAGTTGGCTGTCCGGGACCAATTATCATGGGTAACTTTCACAAGTAAAAATAGATTGGTGATGTCTGTATTGATAAGTACAATCTTTTCTGAAATGTGGTTCTCAAAATGCAATAACTTACATGCAAGTGTGCACATCAATTTGAATTCTCACACAGGTGCTTTTTATGTTCCAAGGGCCACACACTTTGATACAGCAAGAAAAAATATGTGTAGGTTTAACATCTACTCCAAGTGGAAATATAGCAATAATATGAATAGCTTGCTTACAGAAATTTTGTCCTTGCACTGTATTTGCGTTGAATTTGGCTTCCTAATCTGTATTTTCTTTTACATAAAGGAAGATGACATCAGGAAATTGACTTTTTGTGTCATTAACCCTTCCTGTTTCCTGATGAGTATAACATACATGTGTATTGAGGGAACATAAGGCACTTGGTGTAAGTTCACTAGAAAATTGATATTGTGATTTGCATCCATTTTCAAAGACCTGGATATTTTCAATTCACATCTTATTTGAAAAATCATTGAATCATGATGAAATATTGGAAATGCTGACAATGGAAAGTAAATGAAGTTTCTTGTAATAGCTGATTTTTCTTCTAGTTTGCACCATTCAAACTGAAACAATAACATGTTTTGCTTAGCTTTTTTCTGTTCATCTACTGTTTGACAGTATTCATAACAGTCAAAAGACAGAAAGCAAACAAGACAGAATAAATTTAGTGTACTCCAGTTAACTAGGATACGAATACAAGCCCTGAGCTTGACCAAGAGAGGGCATAGTGTTCCTTCCAACAGAGGCTCCATTGGTGGGAACTGCACTTCGCTGGTCTATGAAATACACATGTTATGGTTGCACCCTTGCGAACTAAATGAACCCTTGGTCCCTCCCCACCAACAAGGCTCTTTTCAACTGATGAGAGGGTGCTTCTGCTCAAGGTGGATGGCGTATCAAAACAACTAAACAAGAATTCAATAAATGTGATCAAAGGCAGATTTTTAATTGTGTGAATAAAGAGTGGCAAAGTTTGTCTCACTTTGGCTAATTCCTGTCAGACAATTCCAGTCAGCAGTTTTTGGATCTCTTTACAGTTGAGAAATGGCCCAAGATAAACAAGCCACTGAAAGTTGTGCAAACCAAAGAGAACAAGTTGAGTAATCGCTTCTATCCCTACGATGAGATTGAGACAGAATGTGTCTTGGCTATCGATGATGACATCGTCATGCTGACTCCAGATGAGCTGGAATTTGGCTATGAGGTAAAGCAATGCATGAAAGTTGTTATTTATTTCTCACAATAATTCCTCAAAACTGTTCACAGCAGTGTCAGTGAGTCTGCAAGGGTAAAAAATAGCCAGCGTACAGAGTCACTTGTTATGGTGGGAGGCAAATTGAAAACAGATATTGAGGGGAAAAAACAGCAGGAATAGAAATTATAAACCCAGTCCACATGTCAGCCTGGGCTGATTCAAGTCACAGTGTTGAATGACGAGGAAATTGTCCTTGTAATAAAAACCTCATAACAACAGTTGTAACTGTGAAAGAGGATAGAGTTGATGTATCTGTCTCTACTATAATGAAAGACATAATACACGTACAGTATGTATTCCAGCTACCCACTTACAACATTCTTAATAACGGGTTTGCCTTACACAGACGTATTTTCATAACACTGTATGCTCAGTGTTTGTCCAAGAGCTTGCAAAAAAAAATTCGCAAGCTTACTCGGGTGTTACTCGAACCCATAACCTCCCACTTGTGCAAATATTTTAACCACTCGACCTTGGGGTTGGCTGGGCAGTCTGAGTCCCTGACCCAAAGCACATCTTGAAATTGCTTTAACCACTTCCTGCCGGGGAGTTATCAATGTTGATGATGCTAGGCCGGGATATTTATCATTTTTTTCTGTTTTCAAAATTCTTTTAAAATTCCTATCTTCATTTACTGGACACTTACAAACACGTGAGGGACTGTCTGGTGGCCCCTCTAGCCTGACAGACAAATCTATGGACGCCTGAGTTTTTCAGCCAGGCTTGCAGCCATGTAAAAAAGCCCAGATTGTGTGGTGTTATAAAACTTTCTTTGGTTGTGTCAGTTGTGTCAGTGTGCTGCTGACGTCTTTTCAATAGGGGCCAGATTAACATGCAGTGGTACTATGTGGCTCATTGCTGCAGTGGTAGAGCGCTTTTGTTTGCGGTGGTAATCCGCTCTCTCTAAATGCCCCAAACCTTGGTATACTGTTTCAAAACAAGGCTGGATTATCTCCACTTTTGAGAGTGAAAAAATGTCAGTAATGCCCAGCAGCTTGGTCTTTTGTTCTGAGTACGGTCTTTTGTTACAAGGCCCTGTTCCCTTCGTCCGAGTGCGGACACCGTGGCCACGCATATAAAGCATATGTGTCCGAATCCAGAATCCCCGGCAGGAAGTGGTTAACATGTCATGGTTAGTAGAACTTAAAAACATGTAACTTGTTTGATTTGTAACTCTAGGTATGGAGGGAGTTTCCGGATCGTCTGATTGGTTATCCAGCTAGACTTCATCTATGGGATGAGACTTTACTCAAATGGAAATACGAGTCAGAATGGACGAATGACATCTCTATAGTGCTCACTGGAGCAGCGTTTTATCATAAGGTATGACCTCTGATGACCCAGGTCAGGCCAATTGTAGATTTTCGTTGAATGATCTGGGTTCCAATCCCATGTCTCCATGTGTTTCAAGGTGTGTTGTTGTAAAAGGCTTGGCATTTTCTTTCTTTAAATAGTTGGATGGAGGCTTGAAAAGGTCTCTGTCCATCCGAGTTTCCCCTAATCTTTTTATCAGTTTTTGGAGTGTGAGAGTGACAAGGGTACTCCACGCCTACATGTAGTCATTAGCCAATCACAGGTCAGATAATGTCTGATGGTAGGTCACAGGGTTAGCAAAGGCAAAGATAGTTGAATAGCTTAATACTGGTAAACTTATGTCCACTTGTTATTGAGTTGTGAAGACTTGATGTATATGACTTACTTGTTAATTGGTAAGATTAGAATATAAACTAACTATAAACTAAAAACTCCTCCTTTCGACAAGAAGGGCTTGTCTGGTATCCTTCTCATTTTTACCAAAGTCAGTTGTGGCAACAGCGTGTCTTTTTCTTATACCATATTAAACAAATCCATGCATTTATTATTTTTTCCCCTATGTCTAGTATTTTAGCTATTTATACACACACAAGATGTCAGCCCACATCAAGTCATGGGTGGACGATCACATGAACTGTGAGGATCTTGCCATGAACTTCCTCATCTCAAACGCTACGGGCAAACCCCCAATGAAGGTCACCCCTCGTAAGAAGTTCAAGTGTCCTGAATGTTCCAACATCATCTCAGCCGACCTTACCCATATGGTGGAACGTTCTGAATGTGTCTCAGAGTTTGCCAAAATGTATGGGATGGTGCCACTTAAGACGGTGCAATACCGTGCAGATCCAGTCTTGTATAAGGACGATGTACCTTCAGAGCTGAAACGATTTCCTGATGTGGGAAGCTTATAGCACTTACTTAAAAGTGTAGGTACTTTCAGTCTTTACAGTCAGGAGTTTTGTCAAATTTAAAAAGTCATCTTGTTTAAGATTCCTCATTAATGTGAAAAAACTTCAAGAGACTTTTCAAGTTGGTAGGTTAAATATAAATATGCATATGTGCTGACCCAAACTTGGATTCGATTTGTTTTACTTACTATGCAATTGTTCTAGTTTGCTTTTAAAGCAAAAGTTTAGCATAATCCTGATAATTTGAAGACATTCAATGTCATAAATTCCATCAAAAATCTTTCAGAAATGTTACTGTTTCGTAAAGACTTTTTGAGAGTAATTGATACTATGAATAACGAAAGTTTTTACCATACACAGAAAAAGATGAGCTTGATTGGACAGCCAGTTTTTGGACAAAAGGTTTTCAACTTTTTTAAAGCAGTCTGCGTATGCTAGGCATTGTGTTGACTTATATGTGAATGATTTAAAGACAAATTTTTACCATAGCAGTACTTTTAGGCAGCAGAACTGTTTGTATTTCACCTTTGGGTTTCTGATATCCAATACTTGCCCTGTTTGATGGGGCTGTCAAATGGTTTCTGTACTTTTTGTTAATAAATGATGAAAATATCCAATATTACCCATGTACCGCTACGGTTACATACTTTACGTACATTAGATATTTTTCTAAACCACTTCACATCAGATGACATTCAAATAAGCAGGATATCCATTGCGGCAAATTTGGTATGCCATGTCGGCTTGATGTCTATACTCATCCTCAGACGCACTTCATCCCCATTGAGTTTGTACACACACAGTGGCTTGAAATAATCCATGGAGGTTGAGCATGTGTGTCTTCAACAGCTGTGGACCGTGACTGAGCACAGTGGTTAATATCACTCTGTGACATGGTCTTGGAGTTTGGAAAAAAAAAGAATGACCACGCGGTAAGAGATATCATCCAAATCTCAAAGAAATGACCAGCAAGGGTTATTATTTGTGAAGTCCAACTTTGTAAAGGGCTTTGGTTGTGGCATCTTGTCATATTAAAAAGTCATTAGTTTCGGCTGAAAATCATACTGTACCCAGAACAAGAGTGAATAATACCGTTGGCAATGGCTAACAATAAGACGTGTGGAAGTTATGGTATCATTCACATACAATCCCATCGCCAAACATTTTGCAAAGATTTGTCTTCAGATCATTACAAATGGTCCCATATGCTTTAGGAATAATTCATGATTATGCAAAGAAGAGCCACTTACATGCACATATGCTGTATGCATTTGTGAATAGGGAAATACAAATACACACACTATCCACATTGAATTGATAGTCACGTATAGTTTATTCCCAACATTATTTCCTGTTTCTGAATCACATGACAATAGAGAGAGAGTTACCAATTTGATGTTACTATTTTCTCTCTCCATAAGTTATTCTCAGTTTTCTTTTCTTTCTCAAAACAAAGGCAATAAAACATTTCTAAATCACCAACAAATGGAAAAACCACTAAAAATGGCCTTGATGTGTTACCGTGTATTGAAACCAGCAAACATAGCACTGAACATTCAGTATTCAGATTTACATACTGTAAGTACACATACAATGTAGCATCCTTATCTAAAAACGGACAATCTATGTACAGAGTAAACTTAACCATTTTGTACAACTGTAAGTTATTTTTAGGTATATTATGTAAATAATAAAGTATTTTTTGGATATTAAAGGACTTAATTTAGATAAAACTATTGGATTTTTTGTAATTACTTTTGTAATAGTACTTGTAACTAATTTGGATAGACTACTTAGACTTACACTGGTCCTTCATAAAGAGTCGGTCATTATGACGTAGGTACATGTAGCTGCACAATGTACAAAAAAACTGAACGTGAAGTTGATACAATTGATTGGTTGGTTTATTTTGTTCATACTTATAGATTATAGGTCTCATTTGAAATGATACCTTAAATAAATGTGTGTGGTTGTGTAAAAGAATGTTTTAATTACGGCCGATTTTGCTTAGTTTTAGAAAGACGTGCCCCTTTTGCCAAAGAGTTTCAACAGGTGCTATTGCGGATTAATGTTCATGATGGTATAGTCGCCAGGTCCCTTATTTTGCCACTTACTGTGAAAACCAATGAGACTTGACAATAGGTGGTGGTGGTGGCGACTCTACGGTCACAGATATTTTGTTTGAACAGCCCAAATATCTTCCAAAATACAACACCCAGATCTTCATCCTATGGATGGAGTCAGTGGTATCACATCCGAGCCATTATTAGGCTGTATTGTTACTCTCAATAGTTGAGAGTACAGGAAATGTGTGGGTGCTACTCTCAGATCACACCGTACAAACGGTTATTATGACCTGTGTGCCACCTTGAAATAATCACATGATGCAAGAGTATACTCCTGGCCTTGTACTAACATACTCGACCAGAGCCTAATGTTACCTGGTGCTTGCATCCCAGTTTTGTTTAGGTAAGAATATGCTGTTGGTATACAGACTTGAACTTGGGATGATAAGAGAGGCATCTTTGAAAAAAAATTGTAATTTATTTGTATGACAGTAGGATTTGGACACTGTTCTTACTTCAAGCATTTGTTTTTACTCAGCTTCCAGATTCAGCTCTAAATGGTAAAAGAGCAGCGCATGTATGGATGTTGAAACTCCAAATAAGGATGTCTAATCACATAGGCTGAACCCATCAAACTCTGTGAAGATCCATTAAAATCTAACAACCAGGGTAGTTTAGGAATCACTGTAAGTAATACTAGTCCCATCAGTGGATTGATTGAACTACATGTATGAATCATGTGGGGGTAGATTTGTTGTTTTGTAGGAATTTGATAGTTATGGGTAGAATCATGGCAGAAATTGCATCATGCTGTGACTCAGATGCCGAGTTTGTGTTAATGAAGAACGATTGTGCCCTAGCCCCTTGAAGGTATCAGTGTCTTTTGTTTAGGACAGATGAGTTGTGGGGACAAAATTTGTCTTAAGAACAATTAGTCACCTTAATAACTATCCTTCATCACATATATTCCCCATAACAAATTATTCACCATAATAACTATTATTCAAACATGCAGTCCCCATAGTGCAGTGCCATTGTGTGTTCACTCATGTTTGATTAATGGTGTTCCAACAGCCTGCCATTTAAAGGTGCCTTTCCATGTGCATAACAACACTTGCACCAAATGGTGATTTTGACAGCCGAACGCAATGCACGCATGTTTTATGTTAATGGAATCGATTTCGTGTCTGTGAAAGTAAAACGCAATGCACCCAAAAAGGGTTCCTATGGAAATGTGCTTTAATACCAACAGTGACCCATTTTCACAGCTTTGTTTACCATAGAGGAAAATGTCTACACTAATCATTGACATTTTGAACAGGTTGGGAGGTGTCTTTGCTTGAGTATTTGTATGAATCATGGAACTTGGTACTCTACATGTGCTTGCATGTATGCTTCCACACTACCTGTACATGGTTAGTTTGGAATTTCTATACCTCACAGACTGGAATGTGGACAAAACCTTGTGTGACGTAGGGCTTTGGTTGATTAACATGCTATTGAAAAGCTAACATGCATGCACATGCTTTAAGTTTCAGATCTTAACCAAGTGAATTTTGCTGCAAACATTTGGTGACACAAAGTTTGCTTAGCTTTCACAGTTACCTGAAGTTTGAAGAGGCCTCAACATAAAGCTAAAAAGCAAACAACTCACTGTCTAACAATCATAAACACACAATTTTCCTTGGGACTTTTTGTGAAATGTAGCCGATGATTTCCAAGCATCCTTATCGTTATGTTGCCTTTGATTTCCCAGATAACCTTTCCTAAGCAAAACTCCTGCACTGCTCGCGTTAATTTCAGTCAGTCTGCAAGGGTAGCCACAAGTATTTCATACATTCTGTTTCTGAACACTTTGGACGTAAATGTTACTCAATTTCAAAGATATTTTTGTACTTTTTATGTATGCGGCATGCATCATTGTTTCTAAATGCTAACCTTGATTAGTGTGTGGAAATGTGTTCGATATAAAGCACATTGATGCGTCCTGTGGACGTACTTACTTAATGGGACTTCTTTAAATGTGTTCAAAAAGTCGTTACTCAGTTGTAGTCACCTGCTTTGGAAATGACAAATATTAGAGAGAATCATATTCATAATATACTAGTTGACTTTTATTTCAACAAGCAGCACTGTAAGTCATGACAGACATCTGAATCCAGTGACATTTCCTCCAAATTGTAAATGATCTCAATTATGCTAGGTTGTTGAGTATTCATTTACATCAAAAGCTATCTTCCTCCAGTTAGTAACCACTCATCATTGGTAGCATTATACAACAAGTGTGTATAGATGAGGCTATTAATGAAGTATCTCCCTTTCATCTCAACAGATTGTGTTTCTGTGACCAGACAAATAATTCCTCTATTTCTAGCCAGGTGGTGTTCTCTATTAATTCACTGTTTGTGTTTCATTTGAATGCTTGTGAATTGGGTATTTGTTACACTAACCTTCAGAGAGAGCCATAGGGTAAACTTTTGATGCACTGAGTCTGATGCAAAGGACAGCATCAGAAAGGAATATCCAGTGTACTCATTCAAGTACATGTATAGCATTAGACAAATGGGAACTTTCATTGCAAATGAGCATAAAGCCAAATTTAATTCAAATTTGAGATCTGAATATTGTGCTAGCAATTAGTAGTCAGGTTGTGGCATGCATAAACATACATTTAACAAATGAAATGAATCCTCCATTGAACAGATGTTTGGTTTTGATGATGATGATATATCAACTCCAAACACCCATCCTGGTATATATGTAAACTAGCAAGACTTGAGTTTTAATAACTAGTCATAGTTGTAATGAAAAGTGATATACAAGTATACATATTGCAGTGAATAATTTCATGTTATCAAACAAGGAAATGACAGATTCAATTTTTTTTAATTTCAAGTTTAGTCATTCATTATCCATTATTATCCTATCTGTACAGTATCATGTAGAAAAAAAAGACAGATTCAGGCTTGGCAGAGTTAGAATGGCTTGAGGACTTGAGTAAAAATGTTGCCACTTGGCATACATGTACATGTCCCGATAACTATTGTTACGTACAATCTGGAATCTTGCATCAGTTCAATTTATTGTACTCGATTCTGACAAGTCTGAGTTGCTTTGCCTTCGGATGAAATCATCTCAGAAAGGAGTACAATAAATAGGCTCCAGAGTTAAGATTGTGCTGATCATTACAAAGAATGTACCGTTGCAGGGTTCCCAGCATTTCACAATAAACAGAATGTCTCTGTTTTTTCCTCTAGTTTTCCTGATTTATTTCAAAATTCCAGGATAGTTACATGTATTTTGACCCATTTCCACAAAAAACACTATAGTCAATCATTCTCTGAATACGTTGTTTGGTCAGGAAATACCGCTTTCTCTTTTGGGCCAAATTCGTTGACTTTTCTTTGATATGAGGCATTTTTATCAAATTCCCAGACTCTTCCCTGACTAGAAAAACAGAAACTCATTTTCCAGGTTTCCCTGTTTTTTTTAGAATGGCTGGGTACCCTGCATAGATTTACTTCATTTTGGTGAATTTAGCTGGTTTCTGGAGGGTTACCAACAACATCTAAAGGTCAGTTATGAAAGAGGTTTATAAATGTCAGGATGAAAAATGGGGAAGGAAATTAACAAGGCAGTTGATTTCTGAGCATTAAGTGTCATATAAAAGGACACACTAGCCATCACTTTGCATTCAAATTTTGCCAGCTAAGAGTGACAAAAGTCATTTCATTTATCCTCTTCGATGACAGGTGCCAAGATAGTACTTACTGCACCACAAATATTGGAAATTGTACAAACCTGCTGTTAAAATAATCATACATTGTATCATATCACTGCCAGATATAATTACATCTACCATACATTGAATTAAAACAAAAAGCAACAGGCTGACTTTGAATATTAATGATATAATGTGTATACATTTGGGCTATAAATAGAAATGATGTAATCACAGATTTATGGTCAGTAACTTGCTATGATCTGTATACATGTACACGTTGCTGCATAGTTTTTGTATACCAGCGGTATTGGTGTTGAAACCTCTCCATTCATAGTTGGTGAGGCAGTTGTTGCTTCAATTTTGCTCAGGGTTTATGCATTTTACAATAAAAAATGTTTTGTACGTAAATAACTAGAGTTTGAGAGTCATTTTTTCTTTCCAAATGAAGAAAATGTGGCTGTATCTCATCACTTTAGTTTGACTGACGGGAGAACATGCAGAGTTTTTGCAGCTGTTAACCACAACTGCGGCTTCCATAGGGACAGGTATCATTGCTAACCATAGCCAAGTCTTCAGATGCAGCCTATGGCTTCCATAGGGACAGGTATCATTGCTAGCCATAGCCAAGTCTTCAGATGCAGCCTATGGCTTCTGTGGCAGGGGCCACTATGTATAACTTTACTCAGCCAATTTTTTGTTGCATAAGACTGCTCCTGTGGCAAGTATGCTTGGGGTTGGTAATCCCCCTCTAGGAGTGCACCCTCGCAAAAAGGCCCTAAATATGTCTGCTGAGCTCATTAATACAAGTTATACACTCAAAATATTCTATAGTAGAGAGTCCTGAGAGCCATGAAATTGAGGGATTGGAGAAATATGGCACTGAACCCCTGGCCCGGACTCTGGGCTTCAAATTCTGAGTAATTTGGATGCAGTCGGGTCCGAAAATGGCCTTATTTGGCCGTTTTACAGAGGGATGGTTTTTCAAAATGGCTACTTTTCTGGGCAGGGACATTTTCTTCATTTTAGGGATGGTCTGCTTCTGGTGAACATTTCTCAAAAATTCATTGGTCAACCCCCCGAAAATTGAAAGGAAAATGAAAGGGGACATGTCGATCATCGTATTTCCGTGCAGCCTGGACATCTGTGAGAGTTGTATTTTTAAAATAATTGCAAAGTGGGGGATTTATCATTGCCGTCTATGGGAATTTATTTGTAGTGGTGCACTCTATAGGCTATAAGTGTAAAATAAACTTCCTGTCTGGGACCCAGTCCACCTTTCCAGTAGGGCCATGTGGTTGTACCCTCATAAGCAGACCAGCAGCAAGAGAGGACACAGGCACCACTCTTTCTCTTCCTTTTCTTTGGATATTAAAAGTCCGTCTTAGTCTGCAAGGTCTGCTACAGGGCTTGGTAGTTGACACTTCAGTTTAATGTTTTTGTGATTTCTCAAATACTGTTTGTTTCTTTTCTTTTTTTTTGACTTGGGTTTTGGTTTACTTGTTCTTGGAGTTTTGTCGCTAATTTTTAAGGTCTAGTTTTGGCTTTGGGTTTTTCTCTTGGTTCGGTTCAAATAGTCTTGATTTAAAAAGTTTATTTAGAGTCTGGCTAAGGTGTAGTGTCAAAGGATTGGTCTGTGTCATCTTTTCTTTTTTTGTTAACAGATTTACCCTTATCACTGTTGGCCAAGTCTTTAGACGCAGCCTGGGGCTTCCATATACATAGGAATAGGTATCACTGCTAGCCATAGCCAAGTCTTTCAGATGCAGCCTATGGCTTCCACATACATAGGGACAGGTATCATTACTAGCAGTAGCCAAGTCTTCAGATACAGCCTATGGCTTCCATAGGAGCAGGTATCATTGCTAGCCATAGCCAAGTCTTCAGATGTATCCTATGGCTTCCTTTGGGACAGGTATTACGGCTAGCTGTAGCTAAGTCTTTCAGAAAGAGCCTATGGCTTCCATAGGGGCAGGTATCATTGTTAGCCACAGCCAAGTCTTCAGATGCAGCCTATGGCTTCCATGGGAAAGGTATCACAGCTAGCCGTAGCTAAGTCTTTCAGATACAGCCTTTTGTAAGAGATTTTGGACCAGTTTGTTTCACGTACGCGGTAACGGATCATGATCAGTAATCCATCGTTGATTCACTGACGCCAAAACCTGCCTAATGGATGTGGCAAACCAGCGATGGGCTCATTGATCGAGACCCAGATCTGTTTGAAATAAACTAGCCCTCTTCTCATGTAATAAAATAACTCCCTTGAAAAGTGTATTCTTCCTTCCGTAACATCTCAAAATGAAAAATGTTTCATAAAATTCATTTTCTGGCATTTCATTGATCATTCCAGTAATTTTTTGACTTGATCGAAATGTTTCTTTTGTCTCCAATGCAAAGAATTGTTGACAAATTCACTGGGCAAATAAAGGAAGGAATATGTCAGGGAAAGCAGGTGGGTATGACACACACCAATGCTCCACTTGGGGTGTGGAGCATACATGTACCTGCCATGTTGATGTTAAGCTTGAAATCCTCTTGAACCTTTGAGGAATTGCTCATGAAGTTTTGTCATCAAACATTCCTGAAGGAATCATCTTGTTGCTAGGATAGCATAGCACCGTGGAGATGTGACTGGATCGAAGAGTCGGACTAGAGCTGCACTGTGTATACTGGTCTGCATGGAGGGGGAATTATCAGATTACCAAAAGGACAAAACTCAGTCAACCAAGCAAAAAACTAGGATGTGAATTGTTTTTGTAATGCCTCAGTGCAAACTGAATATAGAAGGCACTGAAAATCATGCATTTCTTCCTACAGGTACCTGTTAGAGACAAAACTGGCAAACTGGTACAATGGGTGTGGGCATCTTAAAGGAAATGACAAGCATGTGTACATGAAGCACGCCTTTGTCTTTTTCTCTTCTTATTTCAGAATAGAAGATAAACAGACTTTTAAAAATGTTTCAGTTACAATTTCTTGACCTAAATTTAGGAAACAACATTTTTCTCATGGGCATTTTCTTTCAATTAATGGTAAATCTTGAACCCCACAAATTCAACATGTAGCTCAAGGTCTGGGGGAAAAACACATGAGCTACTTAACTGTGAGTCTCCTGAAATAATTGAGCATTTGGATGGTTAACCTTGGTTGTATCAAATTCCCACAAAAGCAGAAACCAAATACATGTACAGTATGTATGTTTGTGTAATGATCTACCTCACTGAATTTCAGGAAAGGGATATGTCTCTACTTGAAGGATGAAACTGACTCCAACTGACTCCAGCTGATTATTTCTTCCTTTTGTTTTCAGTGAGATAAGACACCAAAAAGTTAAATAAGAAACACTGGAAAGTAAAGTCATTTTCTAGGCCTAAATGTCAACCACAGGCATCAGTTATCTTCAACTTCACTTGTAACAAGATGAAATACATGTGCATTACATACGTTTAGAAGGTAACAAAGTGACTAATTTTTCCCCCTTTTAAATAATTGATTTTTCACCTTCAAACATTCCTAATGTGAGCTGTGTGTTGCAGAGACAGACAAAACATTACCTGTTCCTGAAGATAGCAGAGCCTGTCTAGTAAGAAGAGGCCCTCTATAGTTGGTGCGAGGGCCACTCTGAGTTGATTGAGGGCTTGAAGCTGGTAGTAGTAAGGTTGAAAGCGTTCAGCATAGGTACAGATCTCTGCATCTGAAAGCTGTTGCAAAATCAGAATTGAATTATACCTGGTTTTGTTAAGAGATGAGCACAATAGGCTTGTTTTGTACTTCTGCTTGATTGGAGGCAGTAAAAAATGTACATGTTACAAGGAATTTTCACCCCAACTGCTAAGAAGCATTTCTGAGTAGTATTATAAAAGTCCAGCTTGAAGCTTTGGATAGGCCCAATCTTTCTACAACAGACACATCCATTTCTGTCTTTAATTTCTGCGTTTGCCCTGAAAAAGATTATATACAGAGCAGACCAACATGGAATGGTGAAGAGTGAAACACAACTCACCTTAGAATCATCAAACTGGAGTTTCTTGAGAGCTTTTCTGGCATATTCAAGAAAGGATCGACACTTTGGAGCGAGCTTTCCAACATTTTCCGATCTGAAGAAAAGTGACATTTTTGAAATATCATTTCACATCATGTCATATCACATCCGACAGAATACCTCACAAACCCATTTCTTTGTGTATACCATTATCCCCACACTATACATGTACAGTCACTGAGCCAAAAGACGTACCCTAAAAACATAACAACTGTAAAGAACAATTTTCTGTCTTTCCAAAAAATTTTATGCACATTTACTTTACAAGTACAACAGCATAACCAACATACTACTCAAAAATGTAAGGACCACTTTTTTCTTAACTTGTAATCTTTTTCCAAGCAACGAGTTGGGTCTAGTTCTTTAATTTTTTGTTTGTCTAGATAGTGTTCTCATTGGAATAAAATATTTAAAATTGTTTCAAAACATCAAATGCACATTTTCACCAGTAAAATATCTCATATAAAAAGGACACATACACACAAAATAAAAAGTGGTCCTTAACTCTTTTTTTTGAGTAGTGTACAATACATGTGGATCTCATTTCATGAACAAATCTCTATGATCTCCTAGATACAGAGATATTGCCTAATGTGTGAGAGTTTGGCAAACACCTTGTAGGGAGTCTATAGTGGTCTTGAAGCAGAACCTGAAGCACACTTCGATAGAACAGGCCCATAGCAGGCACTATTTGAGATGTGGCTATTCTATCTGCAGCCTGGAAGAAAGACCACACACACACAAACAAAAGAAACTTTGGAATATATTTTGTACTTGGGTACTTTTGTATATCAGTCTTCTCTCGGTGTTAAGCTTGATGCTCAGAATAAACCTGGAGCCCATCAGTAACAATGGACTAGAAACTAAGAGTCTACACAACACAATACATGTACAATGAAATACCAGGGGAAGGCTTTAAAATCAAAACAAAACTAAATCTTGGTATCTCACCATACTAGCAAGCATCCGTGCAGGCCTATTTATCTTGGTGCCCTTTGACCTAAGGAAGTGACTCATGGGAAATCCACACAACTCTGGTTTAGTCTCAAGGATGGTCCAGCCCTCTGTCTCAAATTCCTCTGAAAGTCTTTGGTAACAGCAGCCAACATTGAGGAGCACACGAGCCGTATCATTGTGAACAAACAGACGTAAAGTTGAAGGGGCCAGATCACCACATGTGTGGAGGCCGACCAACATAAATGGCTGAGAAAAGAAAATAAATATGCTAAACAGCCATTAGAATATAAATCTTCCATTCTGCACGTAGCAAGCAAGCTTTAATGACTGTTGGATTAAGTTAGGACTAGGACCTCAATCACTCCGTTGCTCAGAGATTACTTCCAGATTAATTAACATGCAGCATTACCAATTACATGTACATGCACATGGTACGTATGTATACATGTAGATACATGTGCATCATCAGGTACCAAAACTGGTAAATAATTTTGGACACTCACAGCAATGTCTTCATTTTCTCCCCAATGATTTGCTCAATTTGTTCTTTCTTCAAAGGAAATGAAGATGTCTCTCGTATCAAGGGGCTCTTCCTGTGGTGATCAATCATCCCATCTACATGTACATGTATTTATCCATTTTCCATTCTTTCTGTCTTACTTTGAACTGCTTTAACCTTGTAGCTACATGTAGTTGTCATAAAAAATTTTCTACTAATAAACTTGATGAGTCTAGTACTTTGAAGCTGCCCAATGCATACTCACAATTTCCTTGTCCTGTTCAGCCTCCTCTACATTTTGAGATACCATACTGGTGAGAGTAGTGCTTGGTTCAACAAAGGCAGTAACCGGATAGAAACGAGATCCATTCATTGTTGCATTACCATTTCCATGGCATGGGGAATTGTTAGAAGAGGAATTCCATCCTTCTTGAGTTGCTGGATTGTTTTCTTTCTTGTCACTATCAGAGTTGTGATTGGTTTGATTGTATCCACACTTGGGTTTGTTTACCTCAGCTGGGCAATCATCATCAGAAAATAAATCAATCATCTGTAGATGCTTACTTATTCTCATCTCATGACTGATGTCTGATGCCTCATTTGATGTCAATGTGGCTGGTGATTGGCTATCAGACTGCTGTATATTCATAAGCCTCTGGTGTACATCATCAAAAGCACTTTCTGATTGGCTGATGCGTGACCAATTCACCATATGACTTGCTGAAACTTCAGATCCTTCTGATTGGCTATTGCTTTCATGCATATTCACCAAAGCCTGTGATCTACACCGATCTATCTTCAACGAAGTGTCAGACATCTTGTCTGAACACTTCACAAACTTTTGTATTTCCTTCAACTTGTGAGTTTTTGTAGTAAATTTTTCCTTGAATGCTTCTATTGGATTTTCTAATTGGCTACAGTTTTGCTGGGCATTCATGCTATGCCTTGAAATTCCCTGCCAGTTTTTCTGAAGCTTGCAATTTCTGTCTATGGCACCATGTGTGTTTGAATCTGAAGAGTCAATTCCAATGACATCTAATCCACATTGTAAAGAGAGATACTGTCCAAGATATCCTTTGCCACTGCCAATATCTACTACCTGTATGAGAAACAAAATCAAACAAATTTTATTGCTTTTTCTTTACAATTGAATTTAAAAGATAAATGACTAACTGTTGAAAAAAGTATGCGCACACTTAAACTTAAACACCATACCACTGGCTAAATATCCTGTGGGTTGCAGAAAATAAGTTAATAAATACATGATTTTTTTCAAAGGGAGACAAAAGGTGCATACATACATGTATTGTGCAACAGCAACATTTTAAATAAATTTTGTGTTCAATTTGTTTCCCCTTTATCCAAATTTCAAATCAATGTGTATCATACAGGTACACACTGTATGTCATGTACACAGGCCTGGGGATTGTATACTTTGGGGCCTCCAAGTTTTTTGTCATTTTAATCTTGCAAAGCGGGCAAGTCCTTCCAAAGAACAAAGGCAACACTCTCTTTATTGCGCTGACCCTATTTTCGGAAATTTCAATAGCATAGAAGTCATGTACATGTATTATCATCTTGGAAAGCAAGGGTACATATATGTACCATTAAATAAAAATTTTCTTCCCCTAAACTATGTCTACATAAATCATACAACATGTACATCATGTACAAGTATGTCATGTGCATATATAACCATGAATATAACATAACCAATAACCCCATAATTCTTTATTTCCAAGCCAGACAATGCAAGACAAATCATGCTACATGTAGGTTAGGCATGTTAGGCCTACTTACCTTTTGAACCTCATGTATCAAGGCCAATTTGGCTGCAAAGCTTGCCATCTCTTTAACTTCATGTGACTTTTTAATGTTCATTAAAGCCCTAGGTTGCACTAGCTTTACTGTTGATAAAGATGACAACTCTTTGTCTTGAATCTGACTTTTTCCACTTCCCAGTTCATTTAAAACGCCATCCACGTTACACAATACATTGGTATTTTCCAAGCGATGTTCCAAACACTCTTCGATAAATAGGTGGATTGCAGATAGTTCTCTTTCCTTGTCATTTTGGCGTGGCAGGTGGCCTGTGGGGAGGCGCGCAATCTCCCCTTCTGTAAGGTGAATGATTTGCCTGGCAACGTCGCCGAAATGCGGGACGATTATGCGCTCCCACATTTTCTCCGTGAAGAAACTAACTGTGTTCACTATTATAACCCATTGGTGACGATCTACGAATGAAACAAATTTTTCAAGTGTTTCCTCAACCCTCTGACGGTTCGCACAGTTAACTGCGGAGGCCATTGTAGTGGTACTGCATTAATGAGTTGATCGTTGAACCCGCGTACCCGCTTACTTTACCTGACGATGGGCGCAGCCATATTAAAAATTGCATGATGGGATATTTTCTGTATTCGTCTGGTATCTATATTTATCGCATAAGTTTGAATAAAATTGATTATTGGCGTCAGACTAAAGTTCGAAAGGGAAGGTGGAAAGCGGTTTGTTCAATTTCAAGGAGAAATACATGTAAGTAAGTCTAAAATTGATTGTTAGTTTTTATTTTTGGACGCTTTAATCGTGAACATAATGACTGAACATACACTTGTTTTAATCTCATTATTTTGACATGTTTGAGAATCCTCCTGAACAAAGGCTTGGTCCTAATAAACCGTAAAGGTCGGCCTAAACAAAACACTGGTAAATAGGGTAAACGGAAAACCTTCTGCCTTAGAGCTTAAGTTCTGGGATGGCAGTTCCATTTTTAAGTTCTTGTCATGTCTCATTGTCTGCAGGTCTGTCAAGAGATTTCACTGTTCGTCACGGGGATTGGGGACCCCGTTCATATAACACACAGGATCAGCGCAATGAAGAGAGCATTGCCTTTGGTTTTTTGGGGGAAGTGTATATTTTGCCGGCGACGGCAAAAGTTTTTCAGAGCTATTTTGCCAGGATGTGTTTCCGAATGTATTATAGAGAAAATACCACACTTAATTGAGCAATGCAGTAGCTCAATAGGATAAACTGAATGTCTGCGTGAGCGCAAGTCTCCAGGTTCATATCGCAATGGAGGATTTTTTTTCTTTTTTTATTTCTTTTTCCTAGCAATGAGGGGGTGACAATTTTGTTAAAGTAATAAAAATCTGTAATTTAATTACGTTTTCATCCATTTCTTTCTATTTCATGGTTTTGGAGGTTTTTTTTGAGGGAAATAAACTCTGAAATTTCAAAGGTCTGATTTCCGCCCCCTACTGTACGTTAATGAAAGTGCAGAACCAGACTTAGTAAAACGTCATAGGCCTAGTAGTCTGATGATGTAATGAGAATTGGCCAATGAAAACACATCCCGGCCAAATATCGTTTCAGAACTTTTGTCGTCACTGGCTAAATATCCACTGCCTTTTTGGGGGGGGGCTGACCAGTTTTCATGGTTTTACAAGATTAAAATGATAAAAAACTGAGGGGTCTCCAAATACCATTCCCTGTGTCATCAGGTGAGGGACCAAACCACAATCTAGCAACGTCCTAGTTTCTGCTTATGTCACTTGTTCAACATGTTCAAGCAGCAATGATGTCATTTTTATCAGGTTACGTGATAATGATGTAATTTTCCCGCACGGTTTTGGGAAAAGAACGAGATTTGAAATGCTTGCAGCCAAGATGGCAGCCGTTGCCGTTACCGTTGGAGTCTATGGCAATATTGTTTCCGATCGCTATTTTAGAAAATCGCAATGATAAACATAAAATTTGCCATGGTTAATTGATGGAGATTTTTAATGGCAACGTTTTCATGCATAAAGTAAACTTCTGCAGAGCTTTATTTTTTTCGCGTAAAAATTTTCATCTGCAGAATTGAACTTGCCTGCCCACTGAGTTCGACACATCCAGTGCAAGATTCGACCGAAAAATCTCCTTGATCCGCTTTTTATAGATACCAAATGAAAGAAAAGTTTCATTTAGATCTTGTGTAGCACGTTTCCCATAAATTCAATCGATCAGAGCAATTTGTATTGCAGTTTTGGGCCAATAAAGAGATCGATGTCATCTGCATCTAAAAATAGTTCAAAAATTATATCATTGTGCGCAAACAAGTGGCATTTGTATAGTCTGACGTTGTCGCTAGATTGTGGTTTGGTGCCCGACCTGGTCATTGCACTGTATGTCCAACATTAACAAGTAACACGTCTAACATCTGAACATTGTTCTCCATGGTCTTATATTTGGTCTGTAAGATGGTGATACATGTACATAAGTTAGTGTTTGTCACGGTTTCTCTGTCATAAATATTGGACTCACTCAGGCTACTACATGTAGGCTTCTACATTGTACATGTACGTAGACATGTACCCCCAAAACTGTGGGGTTCAACATCTGCTGCGCTCCCATGAGCGGAGGATGTCAGACCACACCGATTTCTGAGGGTACTGGGTACATGTACTGTACTAGTAGAATAGAAGGCGCTTTTCCACAATACAGGTTTTAAATACATAGTATGTTAAACTTGATATTGAGATACTTGTAACACTTGGTTTTGAATAGACCCATAAATGGGGCCCTACGTATATAGCGTATTTCTTTATTGATACAGTACATGTATACGTATGACCCCATTTACAGGTCTAGGTTTTGAATAGCCCTGTTTAGCAAAAACTGGGTCCTACCTGTTCTTTGAGTGCAAAAAAGCAGAAGTTTGCAACTTGTACTTGCACAATGTTCAAGTTGGAAAATTGCGCTTACATTGTTGGCCTAACAGCTTACTACATTGTACAACCCTCAACCTACCAGCTGTGACACTGTGTGTACGTGGTGTATGTTGGACATTAATGAACAGGTGAAAGGCTGACCATGCTGACATTGCTCATGGATGTTATGACAGTGTGTATCAACTTTATAGACAAGTTGTGACATGTTTGTCATGTGGAACACTGTGCAGTGTACATGTATGTCATGTTCTTAACTCCAACAAGACCTATTTGACATTTTAATCATGTAATGAGGTTTGGTTACCCCCAGAACTGTGGAGTTCATCGTTGGATGACAAACCCCACTGTTCTGGGATAGGGCGTGGTTAGCTAGGATGAAAGAAAAAGCAGATGACATTCTTCACAAACTTTGATTTCCATAATAGCTAGCATGTTTCTTGCCACTGCTGTTCTATTTGGCAGTTCTGCTAAAACTTCCTTGACCCATGTCAAATATAATGGAAAATGGACCACAGTGTTCTGGTAACTGGCTCTAACACGCGATAATCAAAATCACTTCATATTTCGATTGAGGACTAGGCCTACTTGTACATGTACATCAGACTGATAAAAACTGAAACAAAACAAAAATTGAAAACTTTTGTCCCCCAAGAGTTCTCAATGGCATGATTTTGTTGCGAATTTATTCTGCAGGAAAGTAAAAGATTTTGTGAAAGCTTGAGCACAATGTAGGGCAACTTATCAGAAAATTGAAAATTCCACAGAGGCACCACACCCAAGCAAAATTTGAGCAAGGTTGTCAGTTTGGGATTGCACCTGTACATGTGTGCAAATTGCAACTGATGCAAGGATGTACAGTACATGTGTGTGTGAATTGGCCAGCAAAATTTACCTACTCTGAAAATTAGTTCAGAAATTTAAAGTGGTCAAGTTTGTGCTCAACATCTCTGTTTTATAGTTGATTCAAATTTTACAATGCTGTTGCACTTTTCTTCAGGCATCACAGCACTTTCCGTGTGTTTGAGAGCACATGCCGAGGTTTAATCTTAGGCAGTGGCCAATATGGACTGTGAACCAGTCATCTATCATGGCCATCATCTTTCCTAATTTACTGTCAGGGCTTTTGGGCATTTGAACATGTACAGTGTTTGTCTGAGAATGGTGACAAATCTGCATCTGGTTCTTGGCTTTTTATCAATATGAATCTGTATTGAAAGGATGGGATTCAGACAGTGCAGACCTGCTTGGACCTTGGTTTTTTCTTGCAAAACCTCTAGAGCCATTAATCATGGAAAAAAGTGAAATACATGTACATGAATGAATCTTCTAATTCCTGACCTTTTGTGGTCAGGTTATCAAAGTACATTCTTTCCCAGCTGTGATTCATGAACATGTATCTTTCCATGGTGATGACTAGTTCTTCCCTCATCATCAATCTCTGACTAAAACTGAGAATGAAATCAATGAACGTTTGTAGTTTTCTGATGACTAGTAACAACAATGGAGGATACCGCTGCTGTGAAGGCTGTGGTACTGGCTGCCAACCAATATCATAACAACCAGAGTGATAGCAACTTGGTTCAACTACAGCGACAACTGGATGTGAGTATCTGACTGCTTTATCTTTCAGCTACAATGTACATTTAACTTATATCCAAAGCATAGTGTACTGCACTTGTATTTCCTGTATGTAAGTCAGTGGGGTAAATTGATTGGGTACTGTCTTGTCATGTTGCACAGACTTTGATAGGTATTTGCTCCCGAGGGAAGCCGTTGGTTTTCTTTTCTACAAAGCAGCTGTTGCCTACAGAATGCCTGACGTGTCTGGTTGACATCCTGAATGAGCAGACCACACCCACAGAGTTAGCCCAGCGAACAATGGTTTTATTGTTTAATCTAGGTAAGTTGACATGAGTATTGTTGACCTTATGTAAATTTTTATCAAAACTTCAAGTGTAATGCACATGCAGAGATGCACTGACTAAAGACTGGTTCATAGTTGGTGCATAAGAGAATACGAATGCTAATTTATAATGTCAGATCAAAATTTCGTGCTTCAACTTTACAAATGTTGAAAACGTTTCAACAAAAGTGAGATGCACTTCAACTGTTTCGTGACCCCAACTTCTCTTCATTTGTGTACTTTATATTGTTTTTTATTGATGCATGAAATATGAAACAGCCTTTAGTTTGTAAGATATCAAAACTAGTAAAGTGCCTTGGGTTCCGGACTTGTGAAGTGTTTCATAAGAAAATCATTTTGTCCAAATTGTCTTGTTTGAAATGTTCGTTTACAGCTGCTGATACTGAGATTCGGGAGACATTACAGACAACATTCAATCTTCCTGTCTCTCTTGCATCATATCTCAGAGTTAGCATGGACACAGTGGGAGAACAGGTCATTATACAGGTCAGTAGAAGGTCAGAACAACACTATCAATGGCTTGATATGTAAACCATTTCTAATAATAGTCATTCATTTCAGAAGTGTCAAATAGCAAAAGGAAAGTATAACAGAGTTGTTGAATACCTAGAAGTACTTAAGAAGTTTGTTGACCCTGATATTGTCCACACTTTCTTTGTTAGTTTACTTACTTATTTCCTTTCTCCAATAATTAACTCAGCAATCAGTTTTCTTTTTGATGGCTTAATATCCAGTGTGTACAGCTTCTTCAACGAGTCACCTACAATTACCACATACCGTATCTGAACACCACCATGGAAGACCTAGTCCGGTTCCTGATCTCTCATGTGTAAGTTTGCTTATTTGATTTAAAGAGGAGACTTTGAAAGTTAGCCAATTGATGTAATCATCATTTATTAACAAAAGACCATGAGAATTAAATAGTTATTTGCTCATTTCAGTTGGATAAATTGAATGTGTTTCTTACTCCAAGACCTCCATGGTCAGGCAGTTTGCAGGTGTTTTGGAGGATTGAGGTATAATATTTGGACCTAACCAGATTTAGTGTCAATTTAATTTGGAGAGTGGAGATTGACATTCTCTGTGTTTGGTGATATATTGTTCCTTTTTTTTCTTGTTTGATACCTTGTATGTCTGTAGCCAAGGTGGAGAGAATGAACTAACTATGCCGTGTCTTGGCCTTCTGGCCAACCTGTGTCGACACAATGCATCTATACAGGCATACATCAAGGCAATGGTAGGAACAGATCAAATAGTCTAATTGAACCCTTCCTCTGGTGTCCCTCTCTAATCCTTCCATTTTATCACTGACCTGAAGTTGGCATATTTTGTTGCGTCACACCTCCCAGCTTTGTAGTTTGTACAGCTATACTCAAGCAACATCCTAAACAGGAGGAGGATTAGTATTGATTGAAGGGAGTAGCATTAATGGGTAGCTCCTGGACCTAAATGAGTCATTGCATGTGAAAACAAGCTTGCAGGTGTTATGGATCATAATATCAGTACATTGTATGTATGTGACAGTGCTCGGTGCCATTACTCCTGGGACAAACTGAAAAAAGTCTTTTCTACCTTCTTTACCTTAGAGCAGTCATATATATATGTATGTGTTTGTGATCACTCTTATCTACTTGTTAAGTTTGCTTTTATTTTCCTTTCAGGACAACCTCAAAGCATTCTATCGGACGTTGATTCACCAACTGTCTCACAGCAGTCTGACAGTCATTGTCTTCTCATTGTCCATCCTCTCCAATCTGTGCCTCAATGAGGAGCTTGGAGAAAAGGTTTGTCTAAGAAGCAACATTTCGTTGAATATTTCATAAGTAAGCATCACAGGAATAAGTCCACTGAGATGGTCTGAGAAGATGGCCAAAGATGTCAGCCAGAAGAAGATTTCACTGCACAGACTGCAGGAGACTTGTGTGCTGGTGCAGCAAAGCTTGGCTTGCCACTGTTGTACTGACCTGGGACCCTCATCCACCCATCATCCTCTGTCAGATTTGACTAGACTTTCATCAGTGAAGAGGCAGAAGAAAATAAGTCAAACTGTGCACTGTACATGGATTAGGTAAACAGTGTCTCCTTGTGGGAATAATGACAGGGCCCTCAAATGTGCTGCCAAAAAGCACCCAAGTTACAGTGTCTCGTTCTTGTCATTGTTACAACTCTCTGGATTTCTGTTCATCCCCCATCTCATCCCTGTCAGATGTGTATTTTCACTACTGCCATGATTTCTTCTACCAGCGCCTTAAACCGGTCTGGAATTTGACCTTCTGATGTTTATGTTTACCAACAGCTTAAGGGTTAACCATTAAAAAGTGGAAATAATTTCATGGGGGAATTCAGTTTTGCTGTGTGGAGTATCATCCCCAGTCCAATTTCTACTTACCTTCTGGTAGCTTTTTAGTGCCAAGAATATCAGTCAGACATTCCAGCTTGTGTTCAACATTCTATTGAACGGTGAAGGCATCTTGACTAGACGTTATGCAGTGGATGTCTTTGTGGATTTGTTGAAGAGCCCTAAGATTCAACGCTTCTTGATTGTGTAAGTTTCTGTGGCCTTGATTATTAGACATGCTATAGTGAACAGATTGAATTCTTTGTGATGTCCTAAATAAAGGAATCGTAGGTTGCCGGAGCCACATTCAGGTAATACAGTAAAATCCTATTCTATTTGCAGCAATGAAGTATGGCTTTAATTATCATGATTTTACTGGAGACTTTTCATTAGAGACTTATTTTATGGGATCTGGTCACAACTTGCTTTTTACACAGCATTTTGATTAAACAAATAAACAGGGTTTGGGAAATGTGTATAGAGGCCATTAGACCCCTTTGGCATCATTAATCGTTTAGCTATATACAGCTCCCTGATGATTAATTGTAAAGTCCTTCTTTCTTTGCAGGATATTAAGCTGCATGCTTTTATCTCAATTACAGTGTCATTTATAAAGACCAGGGGAACTTATTTCGGTAGAAGTCTGTTAATTTCACATCGGCTATGCACCTGCCACCAAAAGTAGTGCCATTCTGATGGATTCCTGTGATAATTCCCCGAGGCTTTGACCAATTTTTGGGTTTAGGATTTCCGTATGCTTAATCCATGGCCTGCCTTGCTGTGTCCACATTTCTCACTTTTTACGGGGATTTTTGTCACACAGATACGAGCATTTTCCAGTGTGCCTTCAACAAGTGTTGAAGCTAGTGACCAACCAAGATGCAGAAACTGTCAACAAAGTGAGTCTCTGTAACGAGTGTGTCAAGATTTATGATAAAAGCAAGAATCAGAGTATGGAATCTGCATTAAGCCAAAGAAAAGTTGATGAATGGAGAGCTTGAGCACAAGACCTCAGAAGTGAAACATAAATTTGAATATGTACAATAGGTATTTCATAACAACTGTGTCTGAATAAGGCATCATTTACCCCAAGGGTCACAATATATTTGTCATTTTATAATAGGTGTCACTGTATTTTTTCTCCACTAACTCAATGTCAGATCTTTGAGCTCCTGCTGGCATTCTGTGCCGTGACAGACCTCCGACCCCCCATCTGTAAGAATCTGATGGCCACACCTTCCCTTCAGAATGTCGACACCCATCATAGGGGATCAGGCAAACTATCTACCTCAGAGCCCTTCTTAGCTGTCATCACCTGGGCCTCCCAACCAGTGGACTTGCATGAGAGTGTATCCCTAATGGCTGTGGAATTGCTGAAAGAAGTTTACGAGGTTTGTCTGGAATAACAGAACTTGTGTAGCTAGATCAGAAAAAAATGTTGATTAGGATTCTTAATCTTATGAGTTTAGGATCATCCTGAGCTACATTAATAGTAACTCCCTCAAGAGGTAATTTTTGAAGGAGTCATCCTGAAACCTTCCAAATCTCATTCTGTGTTGGAATTGAGTGAATACTTTAAGTACTTGTGGTACAATTTTGGCAGTGAACAGTGGTCATGTTCAAGTTCAATAAATGATCTGCTTGATAGACTTTAATGCAGGGGTATGAGAATTCAGCTTTTTAGCTGATTTCAGCTTCTTTTGTGTAGATGTTGACGCTGAATTTCAGCTATTTTGTACACCTGGTCTGTACACAAGTATGGGAACTTTTTGCATTTCAGCTGTCAACTCCATTAGCATAACACACATGTGTGTTGCGTTCATCCCTCAAAGTTGCCCGGGAGCGATGTTCACGGATACGCAATGCTTGGCAGAATTGTTGATGTGCATATGGAAAGGCACCTTATCTGTATGTTCAGTTCTGAAAAGTCTTTAAAAGGGATGTTGAATGTTGAAGATTGAAAACAATTTTTTTACAACCAGAAAAAAGCCCACCAACAAACAAACAAATTCAAGATCGTTGTGCAGATTAGGCAATATTGCCCTTTTTTTTCAGGTCACTCACAATTACATTTTTAACAGAGGTTCAGTCTTTGGTTGATTATTGCTTTATTTCACCACTACTTGTAGGAGATGATAGACTCTGGTCTAGTTAGTCAGCTTTCCCCACGAGTAGACCTAGTCCTACCCATGGCCTTGGAGCAGCTGATTGCTCCTACAGAGATGGATGGTCCAATGATGAAATACAGATGTAATAAACTCACCAAGATCATCAATCTACTCATAGATATCCTTTTTTTCAAGTAAGGTCATGTCAGGGGTCCAGGGTTCAACCTTTGGATTCCCTGCTTACAATGTTTTATGAAGGCTTTATAAACACCTACTTAGTTTGAATTGTACATATAGGAATGCTTTGAAGGTTTGTCCACCAAGGAATAAGTGGAGGTCTGAAATGAACTGGTGTACTCAGTGTTTGGTCAGAATCCCAGTCACTCTTAAAGGCAGAGATGTTATATAGAATAGTGCAAACTTGGCCACACTTGGAATTATAGGTTGTGTCTGTATTCGGTACATTTGGCTGTGCACTATTGGGCACTAATGGTAAAGACAATGGCTTAACCACAGCACACTTGATGACACTTGGAAACCATGTGATTAGACTGTTAGTCTATACTTGGGAGATTGCTTGGGAGATATCCTCCCACCAGAAAACATTTATAAGCAATGTGAATTTGTTAGTAATGTTCTTTCTTCAGTGATTGTTAGTATTATATTCCAGTAATAACATTTACTTTTATTAAGATTTCAGCTCATTACAGCAATGAACGAAGAGCCACTATTGCATTGTTAATGCAAAATTAGATATCCTTGCTCTTTTTGGTTTAATTTGCATTCCTTAACTCAAGGCTCACCTATCTGTGGAGACTCTAGCTTAAGGTCAGAGGTCGCTGGCATTCTGAATGTCCAGGATTGCTTCCAAATACTAGAGCACCAATTCAATCACAATAGGATTGGATTGACTATGAGCAGGACTGCTGTGGACTCAGATTGGAGGTAAAAGTCTTAGAAGGAATGAGGAGAGGAAAGTATAGATTGCTGATATTTGTGTTTGAAATGACAAGTTTGTGTTATGTTTCTAGGTTTGGCACTCTTGTTTACCCGAATTTGTTATAGGTCTTCCCATGAAAGTGAGAAGACAACCAGTGACGCAGACAACCAGCCTTGCCAACAATAGTTGTAACCTTTTGGTTGGGTACACAATGTGGACATGCATAGGTTAATGTGCAGTTGGCATGGACCATGCTGAGCATACATGCAAAATTTCTGTTTGATGTATGGTCTTATGCACTTGGTCCCTAATTGAAATGGTGCCCATCTCCTCCTTGATAATGAGGAAGAGGAACTTGTCTGAATGGATAAGGGTCTGACAGTGCTTTGTGTATTAGAACAAATATGACAGGTGTTCTGTAGTGCTGAGAATACTTGATAACTTGTTTATCATTCTAGGAACCGTAGGCTATTTTAGAAGAAATGTAGATTAGAACCAAACCTCCAAATACCTTCCACTGAACATCTAGATATCATAGTCTACATTTTTAAGGGCATCTCATTCAGTTGACTTCCATCTGTGAGCGCCCTAAATCCTAATGCCTTCATCAAGAAGACAAAGTATACGAGTCAACAAAGGACTAATTAGCATATCAACATGCACAAGACGAATGCAACAGCCTCAATACTGATCAACTTGAAGTCTGACATTGTTCTAATTTTCACCCCTTAGTGAGTCAGGTGTTAGTACCGTTCTTCACCTGTTGGATCTCCTACTCAAGCTAAGGAGAGATATCCCTCAAATGGATCAACGATTGGTCAAAGTGATGCAGGTTATGTATTACCATTTCTATTAACAAGATTTACTAGACTGCATGTGTTCACGGACATGTTTAAAGTTACCTCTTGTCTTTTGTAATTAAGAAATAAATATGTGATTGTACGTAAAGCTCATGAAATGAGTTTTCTCAACTTTCACATGATATTGATTTCAATTTAATTTAATAAGTTCTCTGTAAATTTACTCTTCAGTTCTGAGTTAAAGATTTAAAACTGTTTTCAGATATTAAAATAAAATGTAAACATTGGGTTTAAGTAAATCTGTCCAATTAATTTTGAATGTTTGGTGATAGCTGACTTTGTGTGTGTTTAATATTTCAGGATCAGCGTCTGGTTCCCTTCCTCGCCCATGCTATTACCACTGATCAACGAGTCAGTGTACAGACTGCCCTCAGGCTTATAAGCACAGCATCCAGTTTACCAGAGTTCCCCACCATTGTGTAAGGTTATTTTTCCTGTTGGTGGGGGGTGGGTGAAGACGACAGGTTTCTTTTATTTGATAATACAACTTGAAGAATTGCCTGTCTAATTTGTTGCTGTATCCAATCAGTAGCAGGATTTTTATTGAATTTTTTACAAAATGTCAATAGATTGAACATGCAGTTTTCAAATTGAATTTTCTGTCATTTTAGAAAATGTTTAGACAGATTTAATGTAGACTTGACTCAAGTCGAGATCTCTGTGACATCTTTGTGTCTCTTTTGGATACATATCGAGACCACACGCCGTAACTCGCATTACGCCCTCTTGTATCCACTTATTACTATAAGTCCAGTTCAGAATTCCCAACTTGACGAATCCACCGACCGTTTGTAACACAGAGAATGGGCTCATCTACAAAAAGTGGTAGCAGCCAATCACATTGCTGGACTTGTTTTTACGTCGTTCATACCTACATTGTAATGAACGAGTTTACAAGTCTGATTACTTTGATTGGTGGAAATTCCGTATACATGTCCTTCATATCCAATTATGAATAACTATATATCACCGACGGGGGTCCGATTGGCTTATCTGTCAATTTGGGCTTCCTGACTGGTGACGTATGACACACATTGTGCAATAAAGGCTATCAATTGAGGGCGCGTTATAAGGGTTTTGCGAGCTGCCTGGCCGGCCTAGTGCAACGACTGTGTAGTGCGTACAGGCTGAAAAGATGGCTGACTAGGGAAGAGCAACGTAAGTCGGCTTGGTCCTAGTCAAGATGTTATGTGACCCAATTCCAAACCCTGGTGAACGTCTACCAGTAATGTATGGCGTATTCTGCAGTTTTATATTGTGCAAGAAGTTTGTGCATCAGAAGTTTGTGGCTCACATTCTGTTTTATCCTTTTTGCATGTTTGGTTTGCAAATCGGAGGTCCATACTGGTCCGTTTTTCTTAATCTCACACAGCACCCTCTGTCATGTCTGTTTAGTAGGTGTCCAGCATTTTCAGTTTCATTGAAAGCATTTTGAAGTTAGAATCCTGGCTTCAACCATGTACTTACAAGGACAGTCCATAACCTGGTATCAGTCTGTTTGAGCAACTTGTCAAATATTACCATATGTCATTATTCCTCAGTCTTGGTGAGAGCATCGCTGCTAACAATTCTTATAAAACGGAGGAGCTGGAGACACTCCGGAGGCCCCTGAATGTGGATAACCCAGGACAGCATGCCATCCTGTCTCCAAGACGACCACAGACGTACCATTATGAGAGGAGGGGTGGCCCAGTGAATGTGGCCAAAGATGGGAAACAGATGGAGACCAATATTCAGAGTTTGATTGAAAAGATGCAGTCTGGACTAGATGTAAGTCTCATCTAAGTTTAAACTGGACTGCCTTGAAATCTTCCTCAATCCAATATTGTGTAGCAAACAATGACAATTCTTGTTGCTTATTAAAATCAATTGAAGTAATCCCATAGGAAGTTGTAGGGGCCATTTGTAGACCAGAATACATCTAATTCAACAAAATCTGGTAGAGGATTGTGCTAGAGTTGATAAAGTATTCATGATGAGAATTGTATTTTAAGACTTACTTTTGACTTGGTAGTGTTGTCCAGTTTCTGCAAAGTTCAAGTCCATCACCAGTCATCAGCCAAGTAATCAGCTATTCCAATGAACTGTGATAATAGCATTCCTTTGTCATTGTTCACCTTGTTTATATTTAGGTCTGATCTTATGAAAGGACTTGAGACTGGACCTGTGATGGACTCTGCTTGCCAGGAAATTTGATAACTGTCAAAATATATGATGGGGAAATAATTAAGCTGAGAGACTTGTCTTGTCCGGATGATAGGATTATCTGTGAATCAATAACCGTCAGTACTGACCATGACTCGTTTCCATTGCTTGGTTTCACAGTGCTTTTTATTTTTCTACAGCTTAAAGACATGCGGGCATCCGAGATCATGGATGTGTACGAGCACAAGCTGTCATCTCTTGCTGTAAGTTCATTTCCAAAAGTGCTCCATTGCTTATGCTCTTCCTAAAAAACAAAATAACTTCCTGTGTTCTGTTTCCCTGAAGAAAAGATCACTTGAAGGAATTAAAATGCTCAATGAAAAGATACCGTGTATGGATCTTGTACAATTTTTTTTCTTGCAATATTGGAAGCCCTTTGATTCTGTAGCATTTGACATATCTGTAGCTTTTGCCTAGGTGATTTTAAAGTCTTTTTTTGGAATTAAATAATACACAACCAAGGGCGTGGCTAACATCCCTTCCCAGAATCACATACATGTGAAACATTTGTCATATTTTGTCTCTCCCTTTCAGACCAAAGAGAGCCACCTGCAAGACTTATTGGAAGCCAAGGCACTTGCTCTGGCCCAGGCAGACAGGTTGATAGCCCAGTATCGATGCCGACGGGCACAGTCAGAAGCAGAGGTAAGTACAATGTGACCAGCAGGTCTTCAAGGGGAAAGCAGCACACTCTGAATATTGGGCCTGGACCAGCCATCATTCTTAAGTTTTCTTTGCATTGACAGAATGAATCTCCAGATTGCTCTGAACCTCATTTCCTTGTCTGTAATTACTGTTAGCCAATTTTTTGGGTTTCATCCAACAGGCAAGAAAGCTACGTTCCCTCCTGCAGGATTCTGAGAAACGAAGCGAGGAATACCGAGAAAACCTCTTTGAGACAAAGTCGCGTGAGCAGAATATGACTTTGGAGATTGAGAAATTGACAGCCAGGAATGAACAGCTTCAGGAGAGGTTAGAGCTACTGGAGGTGACTCATACTGAACAGACACGCAAGTAAGTGCTTCTTCAACTTATCTGTTGCATGATAACTCAGGAATTTAAGGGATTTCAGAATGTTTGACTCCAGAGGTTGGAATTTTGTACCTTTTATCGTTCTGGTGTCGCTACTTTTTTGCGCTGTACAAACTCCGATATTGAATTGGGCTCACATCATGTCAGCTATTAAAAGCCCTAATAATGAAGTCACATTACTTTATTGTTTTTGTGATAATCTCTCTGCTAGATTCTTTGTGGATTTGTCCTTACCTGTCAATCCCGCTTCCGATTTGTGATCATTTCAGGTGGTGTAGTATCTCTAATACTGGTAGACAATGATTTTCATAAGGATCTCTTTGTAGATTTTGTTGTGCTTTTGGAACAGTTTGGAAAAAACTGGCCACTTTCTCAGATACTGAACTTTATTTTTGCCAATTTAATGAATGCAAATACATTTTTACAATTTGGAGATGACGGCTGTAAGTTATCAGCGTTATTATTTCTGAGATGATTTTTGCTGCAGTTCTTTACAGCAGATTATGCGTTTCATTCTTTGATTTGGAATTTGTAGTTTAGAAACTGTCCAACGAGCTCTGACTGCTCAACGATCGGAGCATCAAGCACTGAAGGAAATGCATGAAGTGTTACAACGACATAATGAAACATTGCGAGAACAACATGAAAGGTAAGCATAGATACACCCTAGGGAAAGGGTACACACTTGCTGAGAAACACCGTGAAAGCAGGACATTTTATTAGATCAAGGAAAATGATTGTGCCAAAATTCAACTTGATGCAAAACGTATTAATTGATTATCGTCTATAATCAACCAGCACCCAAGCACTGCAGAGGTAATGTCTGGACAGAATTGCAAGGTAGCATGCTTAAACCCTAAACACCTAGGGACCATTGAAATCATGCATGTGCTTGTTGGATTCAGGAAGGTTGGGGTTAATAAGTGCTGTATCATATTGATGAAAGGAATAAACCAAAGATGGTTTCGGCCCAAGAGGTACTCAAATTTTTGAGAAAACTGCCAAATATATTTTGGCATCATAAATTGAAAGGCCCTAGGATAGCTACTTCAGTTTTCTATTTATGTTCAGTGCGATATTTAATGACCTGTCAAGACAAAATGAGAATGCTCTTTGTCATAGAAATATATCATCTCACTTTAAAATTTCTTTTACTTAAATCAACTCCTTTCAATGTTGTTCATTGTGATTGCTGGGGATGAACTTAGAAGTTGGTAAAAATTAAAATGTTGTCAGTGTAATACAAGAATAACTTTGCAGGATCATTAATCACTAGCAGTGTTGTAACGCAGAGCTCTTAAGACAATAAGATTATCACAGGACACCCCCAACTGTCACAAGACTAACACAAGACCTTCAGTCTGAATTCAAATCACAAAGCTATTCAAATGAACTAGCTGCAACAGAAGCATTACTTTGTCATAGTTCACCCAGTTACTTGTGACTGATATCATGAATGTCCTTCGTGACTGGTCAATCATGAATGTCCTTCGTGACTGGTCATTTGTCTGGCCTTGTGATGGTCTTGACTGTAGCACTGATCAGTGTTGTGTGTACTACTTGTAACTCTCAATATGTGTCAATCCATTCTTGACAGAGCCACAGTGAGACTAAATGAGCTTGAGGACGAGAGAGATAACCTGCAGCGTAATCTCCGAGACAAGGAATCCCGTCTGGCTGATACCAGTAGGACCTTGCAGGAGACCCAAGAGAGACTAGCCAAGATAGACAGGGAGAGAGATGAGTTTGAGAAAGCCTTAGATAACCTACGCTTAGAACTACAGAAAATGGAAAGCAAGAAGAAAGAACTGACACTGCAGGTGGGTTGAAATAGCCAGGAGAAATAGGACAGAGTGGAAAATATGGACAGAATTAGTTATTATCTTTGGAGTGTCCTGTCCGAATTCCCCCATTGTTTGTGATTGAAAAAGCAACATAGGGGCTTGTCATTTTCTCAAAAAAATAAATGTTTCAGTTTTGGGAAAGAATTGATTTTGCTTAGCTCCCTTTGCAAGAATTTATTCAGTGAGTTTTTCCATTTTATAAATTTGGTAAGCTACAGAGTATTCATTTGTTTGAATTTTTATTCCTCAAAGGTGTCTTCATTGGAGGTGTTGTGTCGTCAGCATGAGTCAGATCTCAGAAAGAAAGAAGCAGCCATCAAACAGTTGAAAACTGATGTTGAAAAGCATGCCCAAATCACCCAGATGATTCACAGCTTGACTGGGGGTAATGCAACATCCTGAAGAATAGCTTTGAGTTGGAACTTTGGACGTTTACCTCAACCATGACAAATATGTTCAGCGTGTGCACAAATGAAGTGGATTATTGGTATTGTGGATGGGAGTCCGTTGGGAATCATGTAACTGTCCAGATGTACTAATTGATGCTCTAGGGATGTTTATGGAATCGATACGTGCTTCTACACTTAATGCATTATGGATAGTAAGTTTTGAGCCACTGTGAACATCGTACAAATGATGCAAGTCTGTGTCTTTTTAATTTTAGAAATGTCTATCCATGATTCCCCATCCTAATGCATTTTGTGATAGTGGTTTTTGTTTCCAGTGGTACCCTGAGCTGTCATCAGGAGAAAGATGAAATTAAAATATCTTTTTGACTGCCTGGTTTTCCATCTTGTCTGTTAAGTTCAACTCCTAGTTGTTACTTCTTTGTGTTGGTTAAATTCCTTCCATCAGGGTTGTAGGGTCCTCTTACACTGGTCATTTTGTCTGACCCTGAATCATCTCTATATATCAATTCACTATTGGGGCTTCCACACTAAGACCTGTAACATGTACATTATAAATACATTTAGAATTTTTCAGTTAGTTATTGAGTAAAGGGTATGGTACAAGCTTAAGTTCTGATATACATGTACGTGTAATCATATGCTAACATGTTTTTGCAGAAAGTTCAAAATAATTTCATTTTAGTTTTTAGAAGACCTGTTATGTGTGTATATATGAAAAAGGCATATTAAATAAGTGCACTTAATTAGCCATTCATCTTGTTGTGAAATGCCTGTATTCTGAGTATCAAAGACAACCAGAATGACTGAATTTGATAATTGATTGCAAAAACACAGTAATTAATGACAAAATAGTAACATGCATAGAATCATCATTTCATGTAATGTTAATTTTAAAACTCAGTGAAGTCATTCTGTGCTCTTTCACACTGATGGAATCTGACATATCCCAAGGTTTCATTTTGTAAGCAAGATGAAATCAATCACCTTACCAGCACTGAATAGGCAGCTTCTGGTAACTAACGAGACAAATTTATAGCTCGTCAATTTCATGGAATAGTCATTTATAAAACAAAAACTCTGCCACAAACTTGTCCCCAATATAGCTGATTTCTTCTGAAAAAATAGCACTTATAAGATCGCAGCAAAAAGCTGGCCAAATTGAAAAAAAAAATTTTTTGCTTCTTTTCTTTAAAATAAGAACTTCCCAAACAGCAAAATGATGATATAAAAGGGCAAAATTACTATGAGAACTATGAAGACTTCTTTTGTAAGTAAACCGTTAGGTAAAAACACAAACACACCGTTACTCTATGTGTGAGTGAGTTTGTTTCTGCATTCAACTGGGGACCCTGAACAATAGAGGACAATAAGGTCCCCGATTGACAGAGGGTCCCCGATTGACAACTGTGTACAAAACATATGGATTGTCTTCTAAAAAAGTTAAAGTACAAACAAAAGAGGAACAATAGGGGGTCCCCAGTTGCAGGCAAATACACACTTGTGTGCGTTCTCCAACATCATTTCATTTAGGGGACATTACACACGTGCCCAGGGAAAGTGTGAATGCAAAATAAATGTAGGCCTACAGTACAATAACTGGTTAGTTGCTTCCCAGCATGTTCACGTGACCATTATAAAACCACTTTGTAAAATCCCACCATCATTCACATTTTGCATTGATGTCACATAACATTCATTCCACATTTTTTAACAATTCCCTCTGATTCGTACTTAATCACGTAACTATGACGTCATGCTTTGATTACTTGTTCGCTTTCCTATGGAGGCTTTACGGATGTGCCCCACACTTCACTGCTATGCAACAGAAAAGCGCACACGTAAACAAAGCACGACGTTATTGTGTGACAAGTCTATTACAACCGTGCCTAA